ATCGGCACCACCCTCTGCTCCAAGCGTAGGTGCACCTCAGAGCGCTGGATCTCCAAAGGTCGAAGTCGGATCCTTTCCAAGGGAGTCGATGTGAGCCACCGGTCATAGAGGTTTGAGGCTTCCCTCAAGATTTCACTCCACCACCCACGGGCTGATCCAGCAACATCTCCAATCATTGGAGTGACCACCGTGATCCAGTCTCCAAATTGTAAGGCCGACTGCTCTGAACCTGGCTGTGGAAGTAGAGGAAGATCAGAGCCTCTCAGCTGCTCCATAGGCGATGCAGCTCCTTGTTGTTGATCTGGTCCTCCAAGTCCAGGGGGTCTCACTACCGAGGTAGTTCCTGATGTACCACCACCTCCAAAAGACGCCATAGGGCCTGAGGCATTCCAATCACCAGTGAATTGACCACCACCGTGTGGCCCAGCAGCGTACCCTTGTGAGTTCGCCGTTGATCCCATGCCCCCACAAAGTCCACCAGCATGAAGGCCACAGTAGGAAGCACCTGCTCTGCCATGAAGTCCAGGAGATTGGCCACCAGGAATTCCAGGTGAATGCACTGCCATCGGTGACACCGGCTGGCTCCAAGTGATCCCACATCCTTGACCAACACCTTGTGCACCATGTTGATGTCCATCCAATCCAACTTGACCACGTTCAGCAAGATGAGAAGGTGCTAGGTGTCCAGCGGGATGCATAGCCAGTGAAGGTGTAGTTGCCGACCCCTGCAAGGCTGGCATCGGAGGCACCGACCCTGTAGTCGCACCAGCTCCACTTGAGGCTGTATGGTAGGACCGAATCTCCCCACCTTCACCTTCTTCTCCACGAAGTTTCTTCGCCTCTCTAACGAAGCTCTCTTCGGCCTCCTTCATGATGCGCAGTCTCAACTCCTCGACAGACTTCTCTAGGGACGGTTGAGACAACGTCCCAATGGCCAAGGCCTGCCCAGGACCTGCGCCATTCATCGTCCCTTGGGCCTGCCCAGGACCCCCATGTAGAGCTCCTGCACCAAGGGCCTGCCCAGGGCCTCCATGTAGAGCTCCAGCACCACAGGCCTGCACAGGGCCTCCATGTAGAGCTCCTGCGCCAAGGGCCTGCTCAAGGCCAGCACTACCGCAAGCAGCCTGCCCAGGGCTTGCACCGGAATGCCCATGTCCAGCAACCCCACAGCCAGCAGGGCCAAACGTCACAGGTGCCCCTGCAAGAGGCGGCAAGGATTCTGGTCTTGCCACATCAGCGACCTGTTCCAGAACTGCAGCTCGCTGAACTCCAGCGCTCCAAAAGGCGTTGACTCCAGGAGGCACTGCCATCACCCCAGCGCCACCTCGCTCTTGGCCAAACAGGCCAGTAGATGCCACCAGCAAGGACGTCCCATCACGGTGCACGAACCCTTGTTCCCGGCCAGCATCACTAGAAAGGTTCCGAGCCAGCTCCAAACCAGCTCCAGCAGCGCTAGGTCCTCCATGAAGCCCTCGTTCAGCTGCCACGGCAGGGCGAATGTCATCATCTTCGTCCAGCCTTCGTCGAAACACCGTCTGAGCTTCATCCTGCCCAGACTCATGAAACAGCGGAGCAAGAAGGCCATCAGGTCCTAGAGGTTCTGCATCAAGTTGGAGTGAGGTCACCTGCCCTTGTGGTCCTTCAGTTCCACCTTGTCCACGACCTTCATCTCGTCGTGGCTCTGGTGTCGAAGCGGCCACGTCCCCCTCAGTCACCTTCAGTCGTCGGACCTCGGGCACTTGGGGAGCCTCCAGCTTTGACCTCCTCTCCATCTCGATCAGCCTATCCAAGCGCTGATCTGCCGTCTCGTGGTGCTGCCGGCGCCTGCGCTCCATTACGGCACCGCACACCCAAGCCAGTGAAGGCTTGGGCTCATAACCTGCGAAAGGCAGGTGCAAAAGTCTGCCCTTTTCTTGAGCCATGTGCAATCAGTAAGATCCTTGTGCAGGGGCCATGCTATGAACGGTCGTCCAAACTGCATGCCATGTCCTACAGTAGACAGCACTTCTTGATTTGTGCGTGTCATTCTTTGAAAACGGCACCACAGTTTCATTTGGGGCATTCCTAGCAATCATGGCCGTCATGGCGAGTTATGAGGTGGGCCCATTGATCAACTCCTGCTGCGTGCAGAGGGGGTGTGACAGCCCAGTACGCCGATTCTGTATGCGTCAAGGATCAAGGTGTAGGGCCGGAGGTGACATGCAATTTTTCCACATAGTTCCACATAGTTCCACGATTTTCAACCCTACTACATGAAATTTCCGATGTCTCTTTAGGCGGAGCTTCGGGCCATGAAACTGGAGGCTGAGACACTGTTCTGAAGCCGTGGCATTCACCTTGAATTTGTGAAAGAATTTATCAATTGTGGGACGGCTACCCCGATGCCCCTGGCATTGGAAATGGACATGCTTGTAGCATCTTGTAGCATAGCTTATAGATGCTTATAGCATCTTATAGCATGTTCCAACATGTTAGAACTAGATTCAGATGGCGAAAAAAAAGATGAGCATCAGATGACCAGCAAGGCCACCCTGGAGAGTCAGAGCCGACGCTTGTTGCACACCGAGCAGGAGGCAGCTCACAGAGACACCCGGCCCTACACCAGCTGAATCAGCTACAACCTCCAGCATCAAACTGTATGATCATACGGAATCATACGTATATACATATATAACATGTATATATATATATATAGAACAACACAAATCAACGTTCACGTTAAGTTCAACTTCAGTTCCATAACCTCGAAAGAACGCTAGTCCCACATCCTACCATCATCTCTGCATCTCGTCCATGGCATGCCACGGCTCCAGGCGGTTGAAGCTCAGGAGCAATCTGCCACGTTAAGGGCCAGCTCCTCTGAGGTTCTGCGGAAAAACTGCACTTGGTGGGACCCACCAGACCTACCATACTCTAGCATCATCCACCTAATTCATTCTAACTCATCGGAGTTCTATAGAATTTAATTCGCTTGGATTGTCGGCACCGAATCGGATGTTTCTGACACGAAGAGATGACCCAAATTGGACGCATCGGCATTTCAGATTTCCAAGCGTCTTACGTTCATGGTGTTCAATATGTAAATCTTGCGCCATTTTGTATGGTCTTGACAAGACGGTCTTGCAGTATCGTGCGGTCTTTGTCCTTGAAACTAGTCTGGTTCCAGAAATCGCCGCAGGCGGCGAGGAAAATCAAGGTTTTAACGGAGCAGCTGAGCAGTAACGAGGCGGCGCCGAAGGGACTCAGCCAAAGAGCTTCTTCTTGTGAAAGTACCCATATGCATTAAATCATGTTGAATAAGTTGAATCATTATGTGTTTTGTATCATGTTTGGATATGTTTGTATTATGATATATTATGATAATAATTTGTTCGATCTGACAACATCAGACAGGTCCATGAAACAAATAGACTTTGCCTTCTCAGGCGTTATTGGTGAAAGAGCGGGAGAAGCTTCGGCATGAAGAGCTACAGGCACCAGCTTGGCCAATTCTGCTCAAGTTGCTGCCACCACATACATGTAGGTTGAAATTCCACATGTTTCCGATTTCTGGGATTTTCTTGGGGCCGCGTCAGAGCTGCAACCTGTTTTAGTCTTAGTCACTTGGGTCTTCCCGACCTTTCGGTGTCATCAAGATCATCAAGCATGGCTAGCTGGCAAATGTATGGAGATGTGTTGTTTTGATTTGGCCACGGGCCAAATTTTCTATGATTTTCTTATCCCAACAACTCCAACCAGTCCGTCCGTTGGAGCTGCCAGGCCCGTGAGTGCAAGATGACCTTGGCTTCTTTGCAGGCCGGCCGCTGGTTGACCACTGGTAAGGGTGGGCCTGCAGCAATGGTCATTGGAATAGCTGCAAGATCATGATGGATGATCCCATATCAATCATGACAACCAGTCCTTTCACTGGGCCTAGATAGACACGGGGTTCCCATGGTTTCCCATGATTTCCCATGATTTCCCATTGGCGTCAACCATCGGATACCATCGGTAGGGCCGAGTATCACAAACATCGTGCCTGCACAATCTGCACACCTCCAACTTCCAGGCTGCTCAGGAGGAGGAGCGGGAAACCTGGACACAGCGGTTGTCCAAGATGGAGGCTGGTGCATCCGATGCCATGGCCGATATGGCCGGTGCCATGGGAAGCCAACGTTGGAAGGTTTAGATTTAAATGATTCAGAATAGTACCGGTCTGAAGGGCCCCACCCTATTGTCAACAGTTCTCAACATTTCTCAACGCTCAATCGTTTGATTCCTCTGATTGTGGCGTTTGATATTTTGGAGGCAGAACTGGTTTCCAGACATGTTTCCACTTGATCATACTTGATTTTCAGTTCTGACGGTACGGCTGGTTCCAAGCTCTTTACTTTTTAGGCTGCTCTGGCGGAACAGCGCATGCGTGCGGATACCTCGGAATTGGAGTACAGAGAGGTGCCACACTGATGCCACAGTAGAGTGGAGTGCTTAGGCAGATTGCAATTTCAAAGGGTACTTACACAACTTTACCACGCAGCTGGCCACATCGCACGGCAGAATCCACCAAAAGCAAAGGATATTGACTCTGTGCTGGAAGATGCTGGGAGGCTTGCAGACAAGTCTCAGCTTTGGAAGCAAAGGCTGAGTCCGGTTGAAATTTGCTGGGGGAACGTGCCACTCAGGTTGTGGAGTATGTCAATCCTACTCCGGATATCTCTGGATGCTTTCCACTTTTCACATCTTTTCACGTTTCACTTGGGACCTTTTGGTTTACTTTACGAAATCTTATGACTATGTGCACGATGAAAGGCAGCCAAAGCGCGCCGGCTTCAGGAGGACACCGAGGACATCACAGCAGACAGATGTTTGCAGTTGGATAAGAACTCATAAGATGTTGATTTGACAAATTTGATGCATTCTTCAAGTGTGCAATTGCTGTAGCCAAATTTGATCTGTTTGATTTGCTTTGATCCAGTAGAACCAGGTATGACCAGGCCTGAGCATGTAAGACCGGGTAGAACATGACGGGCTCCCGGAGGGACTTGAGAACTCTTGAGAGATACTCGATGGGCTCAAGAGCGGCTCAAGAGCGGCTCAAGAGCGGCTCAAGAGCGGCTCAAGAGCGGCTCAAGGGGCTCAAGGGGCTCAAGGGGCTCAAGGGGCTCGAACCAACAGGAGCTGCGAAGGCAGCTGTTGGCCCAACAGGCTGCCAAGGTGCCTCTGCGTGGCCATGCAGTGTGGAACATGAGTATCGTGAAGAGAAAAAGATACTCTATTCATCTATTCATTATAGTATAATATAATATATAATTATATATATATATATATATGTGTGTGTGCGCGTGTGTGTTTATACAGCTATAGAAAATAGTGACAATGAATTTCTTAAGAACAGAATGCGTTATAATATCATATCATATATGATGTATCATGTAGGCGTAATGTATGAAATCACTATCTAGTCGACTCCACTCTGTTCTATGCTGTTCCAATACAAACTATCTTGTGCAATGCAATGCTATGCTATATATCTAAAAGGTCTTCCTGCGCCGTAGCTCTCCAATTGACAGCCCAGAAGCTACCACCTTGAATCAACTTCGTTTTATTTGGTAGAGGGCCCCTGCTTGCTTCCAGATTTCAGCAATGAAGCACTGTGCAGATCTGTGTAGTAGGTTGAGGCTGAACGGCAAGTCGGCCTAATCGAGGCGAGGGGGAACTCATGCCATTCGGGCCCAATGGTTTTCCAAAAAGTGGCTTCAAAATGACGTGGGTTCATGGAAGGTGTACCACGTTGCACAGTAACATAGACCCCAAAACCAGACTGAAACGGGTGAAACACATTCCAGGACAAACTCATAAGCATGTGTTTTTATGCAAAAACGTTAAAAGCGTTTCAGAGCAGCCCAACTGCGATATTGGAAGGTTGTGTCCAAGCCTTGGTATGCTTCATCTCGGTCACATCCCAGGTGGAGAAGAGCAAAGTCTCGTGCAAACTTCAACTGGCAGAAAGCTTCATCCCTAGCTGCCCTAGCTGCCGTAGCTGGAAATATCATCCTGGACTTCCCATGGACTTCCCATGGACTTCCCATGGGCTTCCCATCGACTTCTCGTGGATTTCCGAGTTCCGACGCTAAGGCGAATTGGCAGATGTCAAGGCGCAGGAACTACGGATGGCTCGAGCCGCTGAGGAGGTGAAGTTGCCGTGGCAGGGCCGTGGCAGGGCCGTGGCATCTGTCCTTCAGGGAATTTCAGGGACCTGTGGTGACCTTTAGCCAGTCAACTGGGCAATGGGAAAACCATGGAAAACCCATAAGTGATTTCCGGCAGCGCATGTCTTACCCAACTCCAACTGAAATTCCTTTGCCTTTCAATCTTTTAGCTGTTGGCTTCAGGTGGCCGTTTGTCGCCATGAGAATGACCCCCAACATTCAACAAGTGCATTGACTTTAACTACAAAATCTACAAAGACTTCCACATGTTCTTTGCACTTTCCGATCTGCTCCCCAAGAGCATGGCAGAATCAGCTTGCAGATCAACTCAAGATCCCGTTCGTTAATCAGAAGTCTAATCCATTCTAATCCATGGGCGGACTCTGCAACCAAAATTCAAGGATTCGTTAGATTCAGTTAAGAGCACCTGTCGCAGCACAGTCGCAGTGAACAAGTTCTTAAGCAGTTCTGAAGACTTCCGAGTGAAGCGGGTCCGGGCAAATGTGGAGATGCTGGGCGTCAACTCCTCTGCTGGTTTCACCGTGGGCCCGGGTCCCAGATGTCCCCAGACTTGGAGCAAGGCACTGCACATTGGTATGCAATGTATACACTGGTTGTGTATTGGATATGATTGAAATTGCATGTTGCGCAAATTGTTCCCCGAATGACACTTGATTAAAGGAATGAATTTGGATGAATGTGGTCTACATTTGCCATTTTGCCATGCTTTCGCGGCGTTCCTGGAATTTCTCGGGGCGACGTGAGCGCTGCCAAGCCGCCAAGCTGAGCCCACAGAGCCCACACTGAGGTGATACCCTGGTCCTGGGAAACGATGCTTTGACCAGCCTCGTTGGTATTTGGCGGGATGAACAGGGATCTCGCTACGAACTGGAGATGCAGACACCAGGTGCCCGGGGATGCCCGGGGCATGCCGGAGGACAGAAGCAGGTCAGATGACATCAGGATCCATCATGTCGGAGTGATCCGTGCGCCGAGGCAAGGCTCTGAACGTCACCACTTACAGGTGGGTAGCAGTGGGGGACATGGGCGATGTTTGGGCTATGGCGGCTATGTCTCCAAAAAAATGATAGAGACAATATGAGACAATGGAGATCGATAGAGACCGATAGAGGACAAAAAACAACCGCTGATATCAGGCTGAGATCCGTTGTTGACACTGATGGCAGGCCGGACGGCGTGGTCCGCAGCACCCCTGGTCTCATACGCATTGAAATTGGCCGCGACAATTCAGAGAGCGTCGTTTGGGGCAAGAGTACCTAAGCTCAGACTCTCAGAAGACCCAAGATGATCCCAAGATGAAACATATGAAACAGGATGAAACCAGCTGGATGAACTGATGAACTTCCAATCTTTTACTAGGCCTTTAATCACTTTAATCCAGTGTTACGTGTGTTTTCTCATGAGACAGGAAGTACGAGAAACATGGGATGGTTTGGGGGCACGGCACAACCGGGAACATTGAAGCGACATGAAGTGACATGAAGCGACAACTTCCCAAGCATAAGCAACGCTAATGCAACGCTAGTTGATGCTGGTTGACTGATGTTGACTGGTTGAGTGATGTTGAAACCGGTTGAGGTTTCAAGTTGCAACTCGAGTCCGGAGTTGTTCACTCAGCACCTGACTCGATCGTGTGGATGGCCAAGGTGGACTGTGGGACAGTGGGACGATACTTTGGGGCCACAAAAATGAAACACTTTTTTCTGCATCCATTACAGATCATTACAGCCATTGTAATTAGTAATTATATATAGTAACATATAGTAACATTTAGTATGCAGAGTATACATTTAGTAACTATGATTGGGCTGCTGTTTCTAATTTGACCTTGTGAAGCTTCCCGCAGCTGCCTACCAACTACGTACTCCAAATTCCATACCATTCATACCAGCCTCCCTACGTGTTTACTGCACTTTTGACATCTTTTGACATCTTTTGACATCTTTTGACATCTTTTGACATCTTTTGACATCTTTTTGCCGGCTATCCAAACCACAGTGCAGGATCGGGGACGACGTTCGTTTTCCTGGGCACGGGTGGCTCCATATCAGCCCCCAAGAGTCCGGGTCAGAACCTGATCTTGTTGTCTCATCTCGCAAACATTCGCAAACGCAAACACAAAAACAGCTGACGTCAGCGGTGAATTTTCGTGTGATGTGAAATGGGAGTCGCACTGAAAGTGAATGGTCTGCCAAGAATTGGACTAGAACTCATTTAAGTTAATGGAGTGATTTAACATTGAATTTGTTGCACAACTTCTTCCACTTGTGTTGGTTGAACTGCCATTGCATCGCAGCAGAGACGACCTCCCCGTCCTGTTTGCCATGAAGAGAGTAACATTCTCCATCTGAAGCATGACAAAGTGAACGATCAAGCATGAACGAGTTTTTTTTCTGCACACCTCGTGCTTCTACATCTTGGATTATTTTAGATTATTCTAGTGTTCTTGTCATGGCCCTTGCGGCCAAGGATTCAAGAGCGCAAGACAGCAATGCCATGACTTTGACACCCCGACGCGGGGAAGAAAGCAGGCGCATGATGGTATGATGGAGACACATATTTGCAGAATTGAGAGAGGCCTTGAGAGTGTGGATATACGATGATGTAATTAATTATCGAAGGAAGTTTAGAAGTCAAACTTCCGACAATATGGACAGATGAAAAGCAGAGATGGGAAGAGTCAGAGAGAAGAGAAGAGTAGAAGAGAGAAGATAAGAGAAGAGAAAGAGTCAGAAGAAAGAAGATGCAGGTGCGCGAAAAGGTAGGAAAGTCGCGAAACACTGTGTTTTTCCAATGATTTGTGGCTCCGGAGGGTCGAAAAGTAGGCTCGCTAAAGCGGCGGGTGCGGAGCCATCTGGGCAGATGAGAGATGAAAAATTGCACGCCGTTGTGGCGCGAAGCAAATTTCGAAGTCAAAATGTAGAAAGCACAGAAGGTCCGGACCACTTTTGGAAGTTGCGATGTCGAAAAAGTGCACGCCGTTGTGGCACGAAGCACATTTCGAAGTCAAAATGCACAAAGCACACCAGGTCTGGACCACTTTTGGAAGTTGAGATGTCGAAAAAGGGCACGCCGTTGTGGCGCGAAGCACATTTCGAAGTCAAGATGTACAAAACATACCAGCTCCGGACCACTTTTCGAAGTTGAGATGTCGAAAAAGTGCACGCCGTTGTGGCGCGAAGCACATGTGCAAGTGAAAACGCTAAAAACACCTCACGTTTGGACCACTTTCGGAAGTTTAGCGGTTGAAAAAGTGCATGCCGTTGTGGCGCGAGGCACATTTCGAAGTCAAAATGTTAAAAACACGAGGGGTTCGGACCACTTTTGGAAGTTGCGATGTCGAAAAAGTGCATGCCGTTGTGGCGCGAAGCACATTTCGAAGTCAAAATGTTAAAAACACGAGGGGTTCGGACCACTTTTGGAAGTTGCGATGTCGAAAAAGTGCACGCCGTTGTGGCGCGAAGCACGTTTCGAAGTCAAAATGCCAAAAACACCAGGGGGTCGGACCACTTTTGGACGTTCAGATGTGCTTTCGCGTGGCAAGCGCAAAGGATTGTGGATCTTGTTAAAAGTGAGCAAAACGTGAGGGTTTTGTAGCATGTCCAAAAACGATGGCAGGCCTGGGACATTTGAAGATGATCTGCAAAGATGCATTTTCCATGGCAGGCGCAGTACAAGAGACATGTTCATCAGAGATGTTAGGAGGTCAGGGCGCTGATTTCCTGCGAGGGGTTGCATTTTGGAGCATCAGATCTTCAGGTTTGCTGAGATGATTTTGCGTGACAGGTGCAGCACTTCGTATGACCCGGTATCACTTTTTCGTGGCAGGCGCAGTAGTTTAGACAGGTGGAGTCGAAAAATCGCAAAACGCATTGGTACGAGGCCGTCAGCTCTGCACTCAACTTTCCATTTTTGAAGGAAGTCTCGCAGAATTGTTTCGTTTTTTGATGTTGTCAACTTCGAAAAATGAGGAAGTCTCGCAGACTTGTTTCGTTTTTGATGTTGTCAAGTGCAAAATGGAGGAAGTCTCGCTGAATTGCTGCGTTTTTGATGTTGTCAAGTTCAGAAAACTGAGGAAGTCTCGCAGAATAGCTTCATTTTCAGGCTTGCAGATAGATAGATAAGATAACATAAGATTAGACTAGACTAGACTAGATTAGATAGATAGATAGATCGATCGATGGATAGATAGATAGGTAGATAGATAGATAGATAGATAGAGAGAGATATAGATAGATAGATAGATAGATAGATAGACAGATAGATAGATAGATAGATAGGTAGATAGACAGATAGATGGATAGATGGATAGATAGATAGATAGAAAGATAGATAGTTAGATAGATCGATAGATAGATAGATAGGTAGACAGACAGATAGATGGATAGATGGATAGATGGATAGATGATGGATGGATAGATAGATAGATAGATAGATAGAAAGAAAGAAAGATAGATAGATAGATGGATAGCGAGAGAGATAGATAGATAGATAGATAGATAGATAGATAGATAGATATATACATAGATACATTAGATACATAGATAGATGGATAGATAGGTAGGTAGGTAGGTAGGTAGATCGTCAGAGAAAGAGAGAGAAAGAGAGAGAAAGAGAGAGAAAAAGAGAGGAGACCTCAACCACCTTTCGGTCCATCAGTGGTTTCGCCCTGCCATCCGTGATTCACAACAAAAAACCTCTCCTATAGGTTTACTATTTTTGAAACTTCCGCCACCGCCTTGTGCGGTACTACTGGTACGCTTATACGTAACATTACGTAACTATTTATAACTATTGTAAAACTATTGTATGCAACTATGTAAAACTATGTATGCTAGGTTGGGCCCTGTGAAAAAAAAACCGATCCGTTCAAAAGAACCTTCACACTTGATGGCATCAAGCCTTTGAACTTTGAACTTATCATGGCCCCTTTACTCGATTTATCTCGATTTGCATTGCACCTGGTGCACGACTTCAGAGCCATCGGCAGTGTCCTTTTCCAGACAAGTCTCCACTTAAGGAATGTAAGGCATACTCCAGCTTGTATAAGCGTAAGTATCAGCTCAGCTTATCTCTCGTACTGTCCAAAATACGGTCGATAGAGATGAGACGAGGACATGGGTTTCTCACAGGTCTCACGGGTCACGAGATATTTTTTGCAGGACGGCATCATCTTCCGCAGCTGTCAGGGGCACGGAGTCCAAAAAAAGGCCCCTCGATTCAAAGATTTCAAAGGGAAACGGATGGAATGCTTTCAGACATCTTCAGACATGAGCCTGTTTGATGATGATGTAGAATAGATGTGAGCGAAAATTGGATTCAGGTTCTGCAGTTTGTAGTAGGGGGTCGGGTCGTAGATGGGATTAGGATCTGAGCGATGCTATGATGTTATTGAGACAGTTGTCATATCCCAATCCAGGCCTTCATGAGCAAAAATGGATAGCAGATGAATAACAGATGATTGCGTGCTTGTGCCAAGGGCGGCGCCAAAGAGTGACAAAGACTCGGATCGACCCGAGAAGGCGCAAAAAAACGCCGCAAGCAAAGCTGAGACGGAAAAGTCTCAGGATTCTTCGGAGCGCCAACAGAAGGACAAAAATGATAAAAAAGACGAGAAAAAGGACGAGAAGAAGGAAGAGATAAAAGAAACAAAGGAAGAGAAGGAGGACGAAAAGAAAGGTAAAGAGGAAGGTAAGGGAAAGGACAAAGTTTCAGATGACAAAGGGAACACTGATGCTAAGATGGTGAAGGAAGAGGCAACAGATGAGGTGAAGGATGAGAAAGGAGGTGAGAAAGGAGAGTCTTCAAAAGGCGGAGCGGAGTCAAAAGGAGAGGCCGGAGAGGCTGACAAAAAGGACAGCCAAAAGGATGCAACGGATGCAACTGGGAGGGAGAGGCCTGAGCCACAGACTGCGCAGCCTGAGCCCGGAGCATTTGAAGCATCCGAAGCATCCAAAGATGCATCCAAAGAAACCAAAGGATCAGAGGAAGCATCCAAGGAAGGCTCATCTAAAGAGAGCAACGATCCCAATGAAAAAAGGAAAGACAAATCCGAGGACAGTTTAGACCTGGTTGGAATATGTTGGAATTAGTTGCTGTCCGTTCTCCTACATCACTGGGCTAACGTTGCCATGGTTCAGGAGCTTCCATCAGAGACCAAGGAGGAAACCAAGAAAGCGGAGGCCCCGTGACAGGTGGAATCCTGGAAGCTATGAAACCTATGAACCTGGCGTGAACCTGGTATTGTCATTGTAGACGATGACGGAACGGCTGGGGGTTCTGGGGATCCAATTGGGATATGTTGTTCAACTGCGGTCAAAGCTGGAAATGGAGTTCTCATGTTCTCTGAGTTCCCCAGCCGAATGTGATAAGATTCTAAGATGGCCATGCCTGCAAGGCCTCAGATCCCCAGTGGGGCAGTTTGAATCAGTGGAGAGATCTCAAGAAGTCAGCTGAAGAGGCGGGTCATCGGGTCGATGTCACAGGCTGTTCTTGGGCATCTTGGGGTCCTTCTGTTATTTGCCCATGATGCCCATGTCGTATGCGAAACTGTTCGCTGTAGGTGTAAGTTGCATTGCAGGATGCAATGTAAAGCAGAGCGGTTGAAAGGTGTAGGGTGGAGAAGGAATGGACTGGGCCTGGGTAGCAAAGATTTGGTTGAGAGAAATAGGCTGAGTGCCATTGAAAATTTTGGGAGGAGAAGGATCGAGAGAAAGGAACAGCAGAAGCATCCCAGTCGTCCACGAGTCTCAGCATGCAGTGGATATGATGTGATACAGCATATTCAAGTCCAGGCGACTTTCGGAGATTTTCGGAGAGTTTTTTGGATCATTTGGGTATGTTTTTGAGGCTTCTGCAGCTTTTGAGCATTGGGACTACAGCGAAGCTGAGGACTGAAGCAAAGACTTCAGAATCCAAAGATGCTGGAGGTGAAGCACTGCCGAGCACTGCATCTGGGGCCAAAAGTCGACCAAAAGTCGACTCCATCGACTTTCCATTTTTCCCATGAAGGTCACCAGCTGAGTGTCACCATATTGGTTCAAACTAGTGCCAACTGTCCACCCTCAATATGGCCAGGTGCATCGAAGGAAACCAAAGACGACCCCAAAGAGAGGAAGGAGACGAAGGAGGACAACATCTGACCCGATTTGCCGCTGCCATAGCTGCCATAGCTGCCATAGCTTTTGCCAGGTCCAGAGTCCAGAGCTGCTTCTATTTAATTGGCTGAATCGGGATCTGTGTGACACGCTTTGGCCTTACATTCCCTTACACATGGCCTTTCACATGGCCTTACACTTTACTACACTGGGGTCATCTGGGGTCATCTGGGGTCATCTGGGGTCGGAGATGCGATTGGAACATCGTACCCTGGTGGCCTCGCCAGGACCGGCAGGATCTAGAGAAGCGACGGGTCGAAAGGTCCACAGCAGAAAAATATGCCAAACACAAGGCTCACAGAGACCATAGATACCATAGATACCACAGAGACCAAGGGACAGCACTGGTACGTCATGGTACGCTCATGTACATTACAATCCTCATTTCAGAATTTCACGAAATCGATAAGGAATCAAACTGATGTCTAGATGCGTCACATTATTGCCAAGTATATCCAAGTACTAAATTACATATATATATATGTAATGTATATCTTTATATACTACATTATAGTATTGCAATGTATTGTATATTATCATCATATATAATTTCTATCTTTAAACCAGGCTTTTTTGTGTAGCTTCCGTGTCCCGTCAGGCTGCAGCCTGGAGATCTTTGCAGCTTGGACGGGAATCCCCTGCGACGTCTTAGTTGCTAGTGTAGCCGCTGTCGTGCATAGATTGTGAAATGATATTGTTATGAACTGCAGATGTGTTGTTGGATGTTTTTGGCACAACTTAGATGCAGCAACTCAGCATTGAGACCAGTGCCGTCCATGTTTGCTGTTTGCAGATTTCTGTTTGCGCTGCGACCGGATCCTAAGGCATTTAAAGTACGAAAAGGAACAATCCTCACTGCAGAAGATGCTTGAGCAGCATCATTGATATCAACGTTTCCCGCTTGTTTTGCATTGTTGTGAGCGAAGGTAAGCAGAGGTTGCTTGAAACAAGTCACACTCTTCAAACATCTTCAAACTCTCCTTCCTTGGCAGTCCTTGGGGTTCTTCCATGCTCTTCTATGAAATTCCAGATGGCAATAACTAAGGATGGCGTTCGAGCTGAAAACAGCAGAACGGAAGGTCAACGAAAAGGCACACGGGCAGATTTGAAGAGCGTGAAATTCGGGAAGAGCTGTGAGTAAGCGGCAAGCCTTACCGCAAGCCAATCATCCAATCATGCAAACTGACAGGAAGATGCCGAGAAGGCTGCATTGGAAAAGGTCTCTGATATGAAATCCTCGCAGAGTTTAGAGAAGGCGCCATTAGGAATCCATGGGGACACCACTGAACCCACAAAGGGGCAAGACTCGATGCAGATGATGCAGGTTGAGCGTGTTGAGACTGCTGCTTGTGACATTGTGGAACTGCCTATTGGACCAGAAGAAACATAGGATGCGTAGGGTATGTTGGATGTTGAGTGGTAATGGATCACCACAAGGCCGAAACCAAGTTGAAGGACTGCGAGCGAAAAGCCTCGAAGGCTATAGTCAGGGAGATCGATGCGAACGAAAAGTTCTCCGCAGAGGCAGCGCCGGATTTTGTGTGGATTAGCTACTGCCGTTGTTTGTACGCCATGCCACATGGAACACAAAGCCTGCCGGATATGCCGGTCCGGAGCTTTGACTCTGGAGGAGAAGGCCTTTGAACGCAAGTATGGAGACAAGGTGCCTGTGTCTTCGTGTCTGCAGAGCTTATAGATCTTATATGATCTTATAGTAGATGCTGCAGTCACAGTGGGCGGCCCTTTCGACCTTCCTCATTCAGCAATGAGATTTATTGTGCTGACGTTCCTTTCCATCACTTCCATCACTTCCATCACTTCCATCACTTCCATCACTTCCATCACTTCCATCACTTCCATCACTTCCATCACTTCCATCACTTCCATCACTTCTATCATGTCATGTCATGATTTTTATCATGCTTCTATCATGCATATGTTTGAGCGAAACTCGGCAATGACAGTGTCGATGTCAGTCGCATCTCCCCGGAGGCTGCGGCGTCCAAAGTTGTGCAAACCATGGCTACAGCGGAGCGTCAGTCCTCAGAGAAGGTGCAATGGCGGTCCTACATCCGACTGTACATCAGACCGCATACTTTACATATCTCTACACATCTCTACATATCAGATCAGGCATCAGGGGTGTCGTTCACTGTCCTTCCGCTACGTACTGCTTCTCAATCATTGTGCTCCCGGTGCTTCATTGATGACCGGATCATAAGCGATTTCTGGGGGGATGCTGTGGGGATGTCCATTCATGATCGTTATCGTTGTCGTCGTCATCACCATCTCGTCATCTCGACCATGTCTTATCATTGTTATCAACACCCATATTGTTGACATGCCCATTTCTCAACTATTGGACAGCGGCATGCCATGGCATGCCAATGTTTTTACCCTACTGCCACAATTATAGTCTATTAGTGATATCACAGATATGCATTGTGGAGGTCAAACTTGCCAAGACAAAGATGGAGCTGGCAGCTGTGGAAATGGAGGCAAAGACAGTGGCACCACGGCACCGCTACTAAACTATACTAAACTCTGTGCTTGGCCATGTTTCATAGCAGTTGTTGATCAGATCAGTGACTTTGCTGTTAAGCTGCAGTTTTAAACGTCTGCGACGGTCTCAGTCTCGGAGGCTCTTCGCAAATTGGTTCAAGAGAAAGAAAAGGCATGGAAGTCTGCTTACGAGGACCAAGGCATCCCAAAGATCCCAAAGGCTGTAGCTGTAGGTGGAATGAGTTGCACGCACTTCTGCAGTAGTATCCAACATGATCGCACGAGGATTACATGACGTAATCACTTGACTTTACTTTGGATACCTTCCATATCCTTCCGTATCCTTCCATTGTGTGTAATATGGTTGGTCTTAGCGCTTGGGGATTCCGTTTCCGCAGGAAGCTGCGGCAGAAATGGCCAAGGTGCGTGTTGCTTCGGAGCTTCGTCTGCAAAAACTGCACCTTTCGCCGCCTTTCGCATCTCAGGCGATGTCCTACGGTTCAGAGAAAGAGAAACTGCAGCAGTGGCCTTAGTGAAGGGATGTGAAGCATCAATTCGGTATATTTCATCATATTTCACTATGCTTCAGAGAATTTCATGAGTCATGCCCGACCAACGTGTTTGATCGAACGTCCACGTGTCCATTGTTTCATTTTAAGACATGTGGAATGTCTGTGTTTGTCTGTGAGCATCTATGAATGCCTCTGAATATTTAGACGTCACATCATAATCCCCAGGAAGAAGAAGGCGGCCAAGGTGGAAGAGGAGAAGGTGCCATCGCATGGCAGTCGGTTGCGTCGTGACGCAGAAGGACGTATGGGCACTCAGAAAGGCACTCAAGCAGAATCCCTATGCCCCGAGGAAATCAATGCCCAGATTGCCAAGCTGAAACTGCAATTGGTGTCCTGGCATGTTTTGGTGTCGTAGCATTTGCGGCATATTTGCGGCGCCTGTTTGACATGAAATAGGGAGGCCATGGGAGGCCGGGTATGGGTGGAAAGCCCAGTTCAGAATGGCTCTGCGATACATGTGTAAGGAGAGATGCATTTCAGAATTTCATGCTTCACAAATCAGGAGGAGGTGCAGCAAGAGAAGGAGGCTCTGGACTTGATGGTCAACTTGAAGGCACCGGAAGTCACAGCGGCCATTCAGCCATGCATCAGCCATGCATCAGCCATGCATCAGTCATGCATCAGCCGTGCATCTTTCATTTCAATGGGCTTTGGCTTTCATTTCATGCTTTGACACTTGTCCCGACACGTCCCGGCCACACCACGAACCTTGATGCATTGGTCTTTCCGAGTTGCGCAGTCTTTCCCAGAAAAACGCTGGAAGCGCACGAAGAGATACGAAGGGTTGCCCAGGTGAAGCAAATGTTGAGTTTGCCGCGAAGTTTGCCCAGGATGCTGCTGAGAAGACGGCCTTCAAACAAGCACGCAACATGGACAAAAAGGCAACAAAGATTTTGGCAGACTCTTGGCAAGAACTCTTACTGTTAGCATCAATCTTAGCACCAATCTTAGCCACCTCTTAGCATCTCTCGGCCAACTTCTCTATAGAATGTTCCCTTAGCATTTGCATATATTTGCATCATTTGCAATAGAGTGCTAATTGTGGCCCATTTGTTGGGGCAATGTTACTATATTCATCTATATTCATCTATATTCCATTTATTTGTGATCTGGCCAACTATGGTGCTGTGGCATTGAACTGATTAGTTACACTGCACCGATTGTCCAACAGCATTGGCGAAGAGGTTTCAGGTGCAGATGATGGTGACATCTTTGATTTTGAGCAAATTTCATGTCAAAACAGCTGTCAAGAATTGTCAAAACAAGATCATGCAGATTCACTCAGATTTATAAGTGATTCATATCATTTAAGATATGTTCTTTCATGCTCTTTCAGAAATATCATGCCATATCTCCAGTGCCGCAAAAGGAGAAGAAGGATTCGGGAGAGTCGCTGGCAGAAGTGGAGAAGGCCCACGAGGTGCTTGGATGCGAATGTGCATTTTCTTGTGGTAGCAGTTCCCTCCGGTTTGATCGGTTTGATCGGTTTGCTCACTCAGCTACTTGTATGTACTTGTCACTTTAGATCACTTTAGCATGATGCTTGAAGCCTTTGCATTTTGCGATGTTTTGATTTGCTTTGAGATGTTTAGACTTTGCTTGGGTTCTGAGACTCTTGCTGGCTCAAGCATCTGCACTTTTCAATTCATTTCCGGTTCCAGATAGCTGTGATCGGGTGTGATCCGACTGTGATCGGTGATGCCTATCTATGCTGGTGCTGAACGGGTGAAGCAGATCTTCTTGGCAGCTGATACGGACAAGAATGGCGTGCTGAGTAAAGAGGAAGTCACAGCAATCATCAAGAAACTCGCAGATTGGGATGATGAGACCATCGAGTCCCTCATGAAACAGTGTGATTACAACAAGGATGGCATGCTGCAAATCCGGGAGTTTGTGGACTTCTTGTTCTCTGGCAGCAAGAAAGAACGTGAAGAAAACCGGGATGGTATGATCAACACCGTGAGCATCATGGCCATGCATGAGGCATACTATGAGGATTTGAAGGACAAAGTTCACAACTATCTTCGAGATCACAAGATCAGCAGACAAGATTACAACTGGGAAGACACCTGGGCAGATGCCGTTCCCTTTTGCGAATCGAATCACGTCGACATCTTGACCATCACCTCTGATGCAATCCGCGTAGCTGTAGGTGACCGAGCCGAACTTTGGTGTGACAGAGACATGTGGTTCGACAAGCAGGAGATCCCTGAGGAAAAGTTGTTTGAGATTTTGCCGATGGTGAAAGACATCATGGAGAAGAGTCTGAATCCACTCATTGCTGTGCAGATCCTCTGGTTTCCAGCAAGTTCTCCTGAACATGGGGTGGATCGGACTGTACGGCACTTGAGGACTTGGAAACAGGAAATGAAAGATATCCTAACAAGGAAGGAGCAGGAGCTGGCTGCCAATGAGCGCTTCAAAGAAAGAGTGACTCAAATGGAGGCATTGATTGAAGCAGCCGAAGAAATGGAGAAGTTGGAGAAAGAGAAAGACCTGGAGAATTTTAAGCCTCTCTTCGCTCAGGTCGTTGCAAAAGGTGGCTGGGATGAGGAGAAGGCCCAGAAGGTCTTGGATCACATGTTCCGTGGAAATCTCTACACAGAGACCTGGTACATTCATGAATTCACCGAAGGTCGAGTCGCCAAAAACTTGGAAAAGATCAACGTGGAGCCTTTCGATGAGGACGAAATGCAAGTCCTGATGGACTTTGCTTTTGAGCATGACGAGCTCAGCAAAACTGTGAGGCTCGCGCGTGCCTGTTTGACATTTACACAACTTGCATAGCCGCCCCTGGCTTTAAAAAAATATATGTGATAGTAAAATGTCAGCATTGCCATCCGGTGATATATGACGTGGTTGATCCATATTGGATACATACACGTATAGTTTATAGATCATAGATCTACAGATGGGTCCAGATTGATCCACATAATATCCACATAATATCCACATATCTTTTGCCTTGTGCATTTGATGATGTCAGAAGTCGCGACGCTGCGATGCTGCGAGGTACCTGGCTGGGAAGACCGGATGGGACCTGCGAGATCAGCAGCAGGTGGTGCACAAGCTACGACGAGTTGGCTGCGTGCATCCCCGTGCGCTGCAGGTGAACATCAAGACAGGCATCTTAAACAAACAGCTCAAGAAACACAAGTTCCTCCCATTTGGAGAGAAGTCCATGGAAATTTTGGAAGGTTGGGCCTCATTGTATGCAGCGAGCCATTCACTCGGATAAGCCGTACCTGATCTCCATACGATCTCGGATCGGCTCATGCTCATACATGCTCATGGTATCTCATGGTATTTCACATTGTATTTCAAATGGTATTTCAAATGGTATTTCAAATGGTTTGATCATGGAACGGCCGGAGGCCGGATGCCGGATCGCGTGTAACTTTTGTGTCACAAAAAATATGCCGAGCTGCCCCGCCAAGCGTTGGTAGCATGGCATCCAAATTTAAGGGTGACCGGTAGCGAGAAAAAAATACTCAGATACTAACGTTATTGGCAGTGTTTCTTTTTCGCCTTACATCATCTTGCATCATTTTGCATAATTGGGGTTCTTGAGATCTTTTGAGTCAATGTGTCACGGCATGTCATTGCTGGCTGCAGGATGCGGAGAAGGAGTTGAAGGACCACGAGGAGGCTACTCTTCAGGCCTGGGATGGTTTGGATTTGGATGGTCCGTAATTCAAATCGAGGTTGATCTGACACCTTTTGATTTTCATTGTTGAGCTGCTCCACATCAGCTCACTCACAAATCATGACAAATCAGGTCAGATTTGGATTCCACTCTGGCACACTCTGGCAGTGTCATGCAGTGTCTACAAAATTGAGAGATCTTCAGTTGCACCATGCGATCCCATGACGCAATGAGGCAGCGTGATGGGATCCGGTCACTGCCACGGAGTTTACCCACCCCGTTCGAGGCTTCGAAGGGTCGTCAAGCCGCCGAGAAAAAAGCGAAGGCACCGCCGCGGAGATGACATCAAAATATATCAAAATTATGTCAGATAACTTTTTAAAAGAACAAGATGTTGCCATCTGTTGCCATTTGTTGCCAAAATGTCAGTTTTGTCGGTGATGTTAGAAGTTATCATATGCTAAAATATTGTTTTCAATATCATTTTAGATGCATGACCGGTGAGTGTGAATGGTGGGTCCATGGTAGATCCCATTGCCGTCCTTGTCACTAGTTGCAAACGTATCTCATGTTTGTAGTTCCCCTATGTTCCCCTGCACCTCGTGACACAGCTTAGCCCAGTGTCGGGATCTTCACAGGAAAGATCTTCTGAAGGCAGCAAGGACAAGAGCGTCGCCAAAGCCAAGGTTCTGTTGGTCCAGTGATGTTTAGCCACAGATAAACGAAGAGTTCTGGCAGGATTGAGCTATGAACCATGTTACCTTGGTGAGGAGTTCTTGGTTTTGACATGTTTTGACAGACGATGATGCGATATGATGTAAGTCTCAATGTAAGTAATGCCAGAATATGCCAGGATGGGATTCTGTGATATTCTGATTATTCAGTGCAGATTCCATCAGATTCCATTTGGAAGATATTGGGAGTCCATTTTGTTTGGGCTCAATCTGTCGGCGTCAGGCATTGGTGGACACAGCCTTGGTGGAACGACAGGCAGCAGAGAGAGCTGCCGAGGATGCAGCGTGTGAATACAAGGCTGGAAGATCTGGACGATCTGCAGTTGTTTTGCCGTGATTTTGTGTTTTTCTGACTCTTTTACTCTTTCTGTGATGCTCTGGCGGCTTTCGAAATCTTAGATATATAACATGTATATATAATATAGTTGTTTACGGAAGGCTGATCAGGCAATGGTGGATCGTATAAGCCAGGTCTTGCCATGTTCAACCCATGGTCAACCCATGGTCAACCCATGGAGATAGCCATGCATGGATCTGATCGCCTCTTGGTTTGCTTTTATCTCAAGCTGCAGAGCTTTGAGGCATTCATGAATCCTGGCAAAAAGATGCAAAAGTAATTGGTGAACTCAGCAAACTTTGCAAGCCTGTATCGTTGAGCTAGAGAACGGCTGCTACCATTTCTACACATCACTTATGCCCGGGACATCCAGAGGGCACGAGTCGCTTTTGAGGCCCCGTTTTTGTAAACGGTGAATGTCAGGATCCATTTGTCTAAAAGGAGTGCATAGCTACTGCCTCTGTCAGTACATGTCAGATCATGTCAGTACCCAGCTTTGTCCTCCGACTTTGCAGTCTGCATTTCCCACATCCTCTTTTTGCATTCCAACATGTTCTACCAACATCTACCAAATATCTACCCGGATTTTTTCAGCCATGGAGCTGGATTATTTGGGTCAACTTGGTCTTTGCGTCGTCCATAAGCCGACATTTCTGCTAACTCCCACGCCCTCAGAGAAAGCGACCGAGCCACTCGAGCCACTCGAGCTGCCAGCGAAAGCGCAAAGCCGTGGCTCGAAGATCTCGAAGGGCAGGACCGACAGGCGAGACTCGCGAGACTCGCGAGACTCATCTCGAGAGCTGAAGATTTCGAAGACTTTGTCGCAGATCCTGCGCCACAGAGCCTTGGAATTTGACATCGAAGTCCTACCTGATGGATTTTGTCATTTAGACGAGGTCTTAGCATGCCCTTGGCTGTCAGGCTTGAAAACGACCCAAGCTGACGTGGAGCGAATTGTCGCAGGGAACGACAAGAAACGCTTCGAGTTAAAGGGGGATGGTCGGGTGATGATCAGAGCTGTGCAAGGTCATTCAATGAAGGTCGTAGATGACAGCCAGCTCCTCCAGACCGTGGATTTAAAGAACTTGCCCGATTGCTGTGTGCACGGGACATACCGAAAGCACTTTGAGAGCATCAAAAGAAAAGGGCTATTGGCTGGTGGCCGCCAAGGCCAAAGCTACCGCAACCATGTGCATTTCTCCTCCTTCAACCCTGGCGATGAAAGAGTAATCTCTGGCATGCGCTATGACTGTCAAATTGCCATTTGGATTGATTTGAAGAAAGCCGTCCAAGATGGCGTGCCCTTCTACATTAGCACAAATCAAGTGATTTTGAGCCCTGGGATCAATGGAGTCATCGACAAGAAATATTTCACTCACGCGCGAGATTTGCAGAACAAAGAGGACTTGTCGTTGACCGATTAGAGTCAACATATTTGCCCGAGTCCGTTGCGTCAAAAATTTGCCGCGGCAGGCTGCACGGACACGAAGTTCACGTGGGGTGTTTCACACCGTGCCATTGCTCCATCACGCTGCTTCTCAACCTCCAATGGTTTGCCAGTGGTTACCGTTAATTGCAATGAATTTCCATGTCCATCATACCCAGTTATACCATGTTATACCCAGTTGCCATCCCTGAGCATCCCTATGTCATGCCATCCAATGCTGGCTCGTGGCCCCATTCGCAGGCCTTAAAGAATCGCATTTCCGTTGGTGAGGCTGCTGTCAAGCGAGCAGCAGACCATAGGGTCGATGCCGAGAAGCAGTACAAGAAGTTGAAGCGATGCTCGGCAGTCGTGTGAACATGTGTGCCCTGGTGTGGGGCAATTGGTGGGTGGCCGTGGCCCAAACCACATTACAGAATGCAAACTTATTGATTGCAACCGCTTGAGGGCTTCTGCAATTCAACAAGGGACTTCGACAAGCTTGCCCAACACATTCACTCACATACACAAACGCATATATGTATAGTATTGTGCTTATTCTATATTATATATAGTGGTATACTATATTATATAGATCACAATAGGGATCCGTCCCGTGGACATAGGGCTGCCCTGAGAGATTGCTGTCCACCTGCTCAATCTGATTCTCCGATTGAACAAAATCGAACCTAAACGCACTTGAGTCGAGTCAATGCATATCAATTTCATAATTTCACATAATTTCACCCCAAGAAGTTTTAGCCATGGCCATCCATGGCCATCCATGGCCATCCATGGCCATCCATGGCCACATTTGGCCAAGTGTAGCCCTATCCGCTTCAGGAGAACACGAGGAGATGACCCAGAAGCTCGAAGAGATGGGTCTCCAGGAGCTGACAGCTTTGAACAGCTGACAGCTGACGCAAAGGCGACCGACTCAGTGAACCAAGCCGAACTTCCTAAATCTTGGCAGGTGAAGAAGGCAGAGGAAGAGCGCAACCAAGCTGAAAAGGCTGCTGAGGCACAGACGTTTTGTGATGTTTTGTGACCCCCAGTCACTCTCTTCACATTTCTCATGATTCTTCTATACTCTTCATTTCTTCATTATCCCTCCAGACCCAACATCGAAGTTCAAGCTCATCGAAGCACAAAGACAATCAAAGACGTTCAGAATCTTGATGAAGCGCATGAAGCTCCCCCAAGCCAGCCTAAACCTATAGGATCCTATAGGCTGCTGATGGCTGGAGGGATTCCATGCCCTTCACATCCCTTGACATCCCTTCGCACGACACGAAGGCGGCAAAGCTTCGAGCACGAAGCCGATCCAACTCAAGTGCCCAGAGAGAAGGGAGTCATGATACACGACATATCACTCTGCACACTATGAAAAACTATGATATGATACATACTGTACATACACACACACATATATATATATATGTGTGTATATTGATACATGTAATTGACGCATGTTTATCTAATGCATCCGGCTGTATATGTCTACTCATATATATATATATTACACATTTACGTTATATAATGATGTCACTCATTGTTGATGGGTGTTTACACGTGTTTACAATTGTCTATTGTTGTCATCCCGAACCTTCAATGTTCCAAGCTCTCTAGACCTGCTGGAGATAGGCTCACGGCTCACACTTGCGCCAGGAACGAAACAGAAATGAAGATCCTTTCCACTTCGAACTTTCTTGGAAGCAGGTGGAAGGGACATCTGGTTTGGGACCTGGAATGCTGTGTAGCAAGGAATGGTCCGCATACGTTAGCATGTTTCAAGATGTTGGTTCAAGTTTTTCCAAGAGGTTTGGACATGTTTGGACGCTTTGCTATACTTCTTTGCTATACTTCGCGAAGACTTCGCTATTGATGCGATTGTGCAATGGGAAAAGATGAGTCACAGGATGTCACAGCCATGCCGCCATGCAAAGGAGCTCCTTGGGCCCGCGTGGTCAGCGACCTGGCGAACACCGTGCGATCTCGGCGGGTCACAGCGCAGAAAAAGATCCGAAAGAGGTTGATCAAGTTGATCAAGTTGATCATGTTTCAATATGTTTCAATATGTTTCATCGATTTGATGCTTGATATGCCTGAATCTTGTTGAAATCGAGCAGGTCTGAGGGCTTTCTGAGACAGAATTCTTGGCGAAAACTGATTGTGCAGGATTTGGCAAGCTTGAAGCACATGTAGCACACGAAGCTAATGCTTGATGTGATTTGAAAATGGATCATTTGAGGTGGAACTTCAGTTCCTGAATTAGAAAGTTCCACCACTTCAAGTATGTTCAAAATGTTCGGAATGTTCAAGTTGTACCGCTGAAGTCTCTGACAAAGATGTCCCAAAATGAGAGTGCCTCAATAAACTATTCGCACAAAACTTTTGCAACATATTTCTGACATAGTGCAATGTTTCCGATGAACCTGATGTCCTCATCGCGCCAGGCACGAGTGCAAACAGAGGAGCTCACATCCAGACTTCAGAGAATGGAGGATGCACATTTGGGCGACGGGAAGTGACGGGAAGAGGCAAATGTTGGGACCGTTGGGAGATGATGGGAGAATATGGGAGATGTGGTTTCAAGATGTTTCAAGCGGGCACAGCTCCAAATATTGGTATCACAGAGTTGGACTTGGCATTTTGATGCATTCGGATGCACTTTGCAAGATCAGAAACCTATGTGCCCAGTGGGGCCGGCCACATTAGGCTCAATCAAAATGGGGTTGCACAATGCACAACACCCAGCCAAGCAGCGCAAGAACTCTACAGTGTGTATAAATGAAAGTAACTATAAAGTATAAACCGATCAAGTCCAATTCAGCATATATGATTCAGGCCAAACCTTTATCACAAGAGGATCCAATTCGCTTCAAACATGGCAACGTATGCGGACTAGTCTTCGCTGGAAACGCCCCTAGGCAAAGCGTTGTCTCAATGTTTGGTCCTCCAAGTTCTGTTTCTGACCCTCAAACAACTTCGATGCCTGCAGGAGCAATGTCGCGAAGCAGATAGTTTGGCGCGTGTGGCTGAGGCTGTGAAACGATGTTTTTCTCTCGCACCTGGTTGCCAACGGACAGCCTTGATGAAGATATGATGTGAAATCGTGTTGATCAGTTGTATGTGCATCTTTTTGCAAGGAAGGGTTTTTCTTCCCAATCACAAAGGGCAAAGCAGGGTGAAAAACCCAAACCGTCTTGTTTGGAAGGGGTGAGACCACATGGGCAGGGTAGGCCGAAACGTGCCACATGCCACCCGCAGCTACAATGTAATTCCCAGCGGCACTTCAATACTAGACTGGCTCAAGATTGTTGCAGTTGGTAGTCTAGTGCTCTTGAAGTACAAAGGACAAAGAGAGAGTGAGCCATGGCTCTCAAGAGGATTCAGAAAGAGTTGGCGGACTTGGGAAATGACCCACCAGCGAATTGCTCCGCCGGACCGGTGGGAGATGAAACTTGGAACATTTTTCCTTGGATGGGGACATTAGCACGCCACATGTGTATATAACACAAGGCCAGGGAGGCTTCGCTGAGCCAATTGATTCTCAAGTCTGTTCCGGCTTGACCATGATTGACCAACAAGTATGTCAAAGCGTCCGATTTCATTTCTCGTTTCTTCAGATTGATCAGATTGCACAGTCCTTGCTACACAGACAGAAGGAATTAATGTTTCAAAGCCACTGCAACCCAAACGATGCAAGAAAGCGCAACTGAGGATATGTTCAATTGGCAGGCGACGATCATGGGCCCTCCAGACTCGGCTTACCAGGGTGGAGTCTTCTTTCTGAACATCAACTTCCCGTCAGACTACCCCTTCAAGCCGCCCAAGGTGCACTTCACCACGAAGATCTACCACTGCAACGTAAATTCGAATGGGGCAATCTGCCTAGACATCTTGAAGGATCAGTGGAGCCCAGCTTTGACGATCTCCAAGGTCTTGCTCTCCATCTCATCTCTTCTGACAGATCCGAACCCCAATGATCCCCTGGTGCCAGAGATTGCCCAAGTCTACCTGAAGGACAGGGCCAAGCATGATGCCACGGCCCGCGAATGGGTGCAGAAGTATGCCACCTAGACCCAACTTGTCCTGGCTTTGACCATCTGAGAGTGGTAGCAAGTCAGCCTTGTAGTTGACTACACATGTTCCAAGCCTGCCAGATAGACATCAGAACTGACACAACGATTGAGGCATGAAACAGCTGCGGAGAATTCTGATTGCGCTTACATGGTTCCGTGTTACAGTCAGGGAAGGAGAGGTTGTAGGATGTTGTAAGAATGAGACAAGTTTTATTTCTTGGTTAATGTGATTGGCAAGTCATGCTTTCGCACTTTTGAGTTTGTCCTTTGCTCTCACTGACGTGCCCGCCATTGCTTGCATCTTCATGAAAGACTGGCTCAAGATTTGTTGCAGTTGGTAGTTTGGTGCTCCTGAAGTACCAAGGTCAGAGAGAGAGAGAGAGCCATGGCGCTCAAGAGGATTCAGAAAGAGTTGGCGGACTTGGGAAATGACCCACCAGCGAATTGCTCTGCCGGACCTGTAGGAGATGATCATTTCAATTGGCAGGCGACGATCATGGGCCCTCCAGACTCGGCTTACCAGGGTGGAGTCTTCTTTCTGAACATCAACTTCCCGTCAGACTACCCCTTCAAGCCGCCCAAGGTGCACTTCACCACGAAGATCTACCACTGCAACGTAAATTCGAATGGGGCAATCTGCCTAGACATCTTGAAGGATCAGTGGAGCCCAGCTTTGACGATCTCCAAGGTCTTGCTCTCCATCTCATCTCTTCTGACAGATCCGAACCCCAATGATCCTCTGGTGCCAGAGATTGCCCAAGTCTACCTCAAGGACAGGGCCAAGCATGATGCCACGGCCCGCGAATGGGTGCAGAAGTATGCCATGTGAGTACTTCAATTGGAAGCTCGATGGTAGAGGTATGATGAGGTTTGCTTGCCAGTCTTGCCCCTCTTTGCAAGAAGGATTGGACACCATTTTGTGAGCGGGCTGGCTGCTGTTTTTGCCTCATTTGCACCGAAACCGCTTCTTTCCTTTGAGAGCTGGGAAGCCAAAAAAGAGTGGCGGCACAGTCATGGTAGCTTTGATGATCCTGTTGATTAGCGTTTTCCTGAGTGATCCTAAGTGTTTCCGCATGGGCCTCCGACAGTGGCAGCAATGATGCCTGGTGCCATGCGCCAATCCACACCAGACATTCTGACAAAGTCATTGTTTATTCATTTTTTGGAGTTGCACAGGAATGGATCTTGATTTGACAGTTGCAATAACTAGTCGACCGATTTTGCTTCAAACCATTCTTGTGTTCTGTTGCCGAATGATGTTTCGACACCTTCAGGCACAAAAGCAACCGTTCACACACTGCTTGTAAAGTTGTTTCGTCATATTCGCCATAAGATTTGAAAGGCTCAGGCTCAAATTCGTACATCTAAGACGCGATGGCGCTCAAGAGGATTCAGAAAGAGTTGGCGGACTTGGGAAATGACCCACCAGCGAATTGCTCTGCCGGACCTGTAGGAGATGATCATTTCAATTGGCAGGCGACGATCATGGGCCCTCCAGACTCGGCTTACCAGGGTGGAGTCTTCTTTCTGAACATCAACTTCCCGTCAGACTACCCCTTCAAGCCGCCCAAGGTGCACTTCACCACGAAGATCTACCACTGCAACGTAAATTCGAATGGGGCAATCTGCCTAGACATCTTGAAGGATCAGTGGAGCCCAGCTTTGACGATCTCCAAGGTCTTGCTCTCCATCTCATCTCTTCTGACAGATCCGAACCCCAATGATCCCCTGGTGCCAGAGATTGCCCAAGTCTACCTGAAGGACAGGGCCAAGCATGATGCCACGGCCCGCGAATGGGTGCAGAAGTATGCCACCTAGACCCAACTTGTCCTGGCTTTGACCATCTGAGAGTGGTAGCAAGTCAGCCTTGTAGTTGACTACACATGTTCCAAGCCTGCCAGATAGACATCAGAACTGACACAACGATTGAGGCATGAAACAGCTGCGGAGAATTCTGATTGCGCTTACATGGTTCCGTGTTACAGTCAGGGAAGGAGAGGTTGTAGGATGTTGTAAGAATGAGACAAGTTTTATTTCTTGGTTAATGTGATTGGCAAGTCATGCTTTCGCACTTTTGAGTTTGTCCTTTGCTCTCACTGACGTGCCCGCCATTGCTTGCATCTTCATGAAAGACTGGCTCAAGATTTGTTGCAGTTGGTAGTTTGGTGCTCCTGAAGTACCAAGGTCAGAGAGAGAGAGAGAGCCATGGCGCTCAAGAGGATTCAGAAAGAGTTGGCGGACTTGGGAAATGACCCACCAGCGAATTGCTCTGCCGGACCTGTAGGAGATGATCATTTCAATTGGCAGGCGACGATCATGGGCCCTCCAGACTCGGCTTACCAGGGTGGAGTCTTCTTTCTGAACATCAACTTCCCGTCAGACTACCCCTTCAAGCCGCCCAAGGTGCACTTCACCACGAAGATCTACCACTGCAACGTAAATTCGAATGGGGCAATCTGCCTAGACATCTTGAAGGATCAGTGGAGCCCAGCTTTGACGATCTCCAAGGTCTTGCTCTCCATCTCATCTCTTCTGACAGATCCGAACCCCAATGATCCTCTGGTGCCAGAGATTGCCCAAGTCTACCTGAAGGACAGGGCCAAGCATGATGCCACGGCCCGCGAATGGGTGCAGAAGTATGCCACCTAGGCCAATCAGGTGTTTTATGGCACGCTGTGCAAAGTGACTTGGGTATAAATGGTATCTCTTGGTGTTTTTGTTACTGTATGGACGTGGTGATTTTCTTCAAAGACAGAGTAGCACTGGGAGTCACACCTTTAGGGCCTTTACGGGTTGAAGCCAACAAGGTGAGCTTTCCTTCGCGACTTGCAACGGTGGGCTCGCGCTTTTGACATCATGCAGCTGATCTCCACTTCCGTTAGAGAAAGGTGTTTGCTTGCGCCCTCACACCGGCCATATCGGCATAAGGTATCATATGTTATCATATGTTATCTAAAGGCGGACCTAGGGCCAGTACGACTGATGCATTTTTGACATAAGATCATCTTTCAGGATTAGACCTAAAGCCATTAGTGAGTGTTTGTAGAGCAAACAGGTGGACACTCTTGAGTTTCTTGCCATGGAGCTTCTGCTACATGAGTTCTGATAGTTCTGGACCTCACGTGGATTGCCGTCAACAATATCGGCGGTTTTTTGTTTGAGATCACCTGGAGAAACGCTGACAGATTGTCTTGAGATGTCTTGAGAGTGAATGTAATTCTTTCGTGTTCTTCCTGAACATTGCCACATAATGCTGTGTGATGCCACAAGTGCACCAGAACCAGCCTGACCCGGACAAAGCGTACGGCTCAAAACTTGGTGTTGTCCCAGCTCCGCGATGGCACAGAAGCGCATACAGCTGCACGGCAAAAATTGCTAAAGTAAGTGGAGTGACGGTATTTATCGGTATTTGGTTACGGTTACAACGGTTACAGTGTTTGAACGTTCATTCTAGACAGATTCAGCCGGGGCATCTCATGGTATCCAAGAGCCGTGACACAACCAATTTCTGCCCACCGATGCCTTTGTTTGTTCATCCGTTTGTGCCGTTTGTGTGTTTGGTTGCCTGTCTGATCTGTCTGATCTGTCTGATCTGTCTGATCTGTTTGTTTGGCGGGCTGATTGATTTCCTCTATCATTTGTGGCTAGGAGGCTTCTGACCGCATGTGCCAATTGAGTTGTTGTCTTTCTTTGGAAGTGTGTACGGAGTATGCCACCATTGTGACATATTGTGACCAGTATCTACGGATATCTACGGATTACGTGCGTTGCGCATGCGTTGCAGCTTCCTCCCCCATTGGATCCCGAGGAAAGAGTTGGCAGACTTGGGGAACGACCCACCAGCGAATTGCTCTGCTGGTCCAGCAGGAGATGACACTTGGAGCACGCCTCGGAGCGTGGAATTTGGATGAATTTGGGGGAAACATGGGGAAACTAATGGGACATTCGAAAGTAGAATAGCAGCGATAGATGTTGGGAAGCTCGCTCGTAACTAGAGATGTGGACATGCACATGTACACACACACAAGCACAAGCATATCAGGCTGCCTGTGAAACCCACTGCAACCCAAACGACGCAACAAAGCGCAACTGAGGATATGTTCAATTGGCAGGCGACGATCATGGGCCCTCCAGACTCGGCTTACCAGGGTGGAGTCTTCTTTCTGAACATCAACTTCCCGTCAGACTACCCCTTCAAGCCACCCAAGGTGCACTTCACCACGAAGATCTACCACTGCAACGTAAATTCGAATGGGGCAATCTGCCTAGACATCTTGAAGGATCAGTGGAGCCCAGCTTTGACGATCTCCAAGGTCTTGCTCTCCATCTCATCTCTTCTGACAGATCCGAACCCCAATGATCCTCTGGTGCCAGAGATTGCCCAAGTCTACCTCAAGGACAGGGCCAAGCATGATGCCACGGCCCGCGAATGGGTGCAGAAGTATGCCACCTAGGTTTTGGGCCAGAAAGATACTCCGTGCTAAGGCACACTGTTTCAAAGATAATTCGTAGCAACAGAACGCAACAGATGTGTGCAAACAATCCACTCTGTCCGCATGTCATGTTGGAAAAGGAGCTGGACTTGCTTGGGTTGCGGATGGTTCCAGCATGTTGTGCTTGTGCTCAGCTGTTCCACGCATTGCCGTGTCCTTTGGAGGAATGCATTTCAATAGGAGCCACTCGAGCTGTGGTAAAATGTTTGACCTGCTGAGTGAAGTCGTCATAAGTCGCCCACAGATCCACCGCGCACACCACTCACCGCACTGACAACTTTGGGGCGACCTATGACGGGGCTGACCCATTGGGATCCATTGGACCCAAACGCCACGTTGCAGGCAGATCGCCAGTCCGTGGTCTTCCGCTTGCAGCAGGCAGCCCAGGAGGCAGGGCTCAGATGGGCTCAGATGGGCTCAGCAGACGTTTCCAGACACGTTTCAGAAACCTTGGTGTGGACATATGCGGACCTAAAGTGACCTAAATTCTAGCTATGTTGAGCTACATGTATCTTCCAGGTTCCACACATCCGCAATGTATCATGTAGAATTGCAAACTCATTGTTGGTGCGTGTCAATCACTAGGGTATCGAAATCTGTACCACTCAAGCCTGGCTAGCGTATCGGCGTATCCCTGGTCCCTAGCAGATCCCCGAAACCAAAAAATCCGAACCACAGCCACTCGAGTACATTGTCTTTAGTTTAGAATAGTTTAGAAGTGTAGAAACTCTGCAGATTTGGGACCAAGAACGCTGAACACTGTGAATGGATTTAGGATGATTTAGGTGTCTTTTGCATCCTTTTGCTTCGACGCCGTGACAGGTTGACTTGGCTAAGACCACAGCAGAGGCTGCTGGCATTGAGGTTGGCATCTGCAGTATTTGGAGGGCACAGGTTGCTGTGAAAAGGATGCGTGACTTGGCCGGTCCAGGTGGTTGTAGTGATGATTGTGGATAGTTGTGATGGTTGCGAAGGTCACAGTTGATGGATCACATCTGATTTGGTCAGGGTTCGACTCGTTTTGATCATCTCATCATTCTCTTTATGGCTGTGAGATGTGGTGAGACCAGAAAAGATGCAGGCTCGGCAGCTACAAGAGATCTTGGTGAAAGCCAAGGCTGCTGCAGCTGCTGCCATGAAGTACCGAATCTCATCTCTCGGATTTTTTTTGGGTTGTGACAAACAAGAGCTACAGAATAATGAGTAGATTTAGATACATCACCCGGAGCTTTCTCTAGGAAGTACAGTTTATAGATGTTTGTAGGCACTTCTCACATCTTCTCACACGGCGATCATCAGAGTGTTTTTTCGTTCTGAACCGCTCGCGGATCCTTGCAGGAATGTGATGGTCAGCCTCCGGACCTTTCACAGGTCACTTCTTTTCAGCACCTATGCTACCTGCATCTGCTACGGACAGTTGGACGACAAACAAATTAGCTCTACAATGCTCTACATGACCTTCAAATCCACGTCAATTGTTTAGACGGTGGCAGTGGCAAACTATTTCAAACTATGATAAAATTGCATCTCAACCCACGAAGGCAGCCGAACAATGTCGAAACGGACCTTGCCATGCCGTTGCCATGCGTTGCCATGCATTCCGGTTCTCCAGGTGTCCTTGCAGCTGAGAGATGCTAGAGATTTCCAAACTTGGAGTAACGAAAGTCGCGATCTCCAACTTTCTGCAGATGTGGGGAGCTTACTTAATGTCGACCTCCCTTCTGCACCAATTTGGTCATTTTTTGTCCATGTCTTCAGGAATTTCAGCCGTGTTGTTTCCAGCGAAGTCCTCTGAAAAAAGCTTAGGCTTAAACCACAGGTGTGCAGAAATCGCGTCAATTGAGACTTCGAGACTTCGAGATAGAAAATTCTCAACCCTGGTAGGGAATGGTAGGGATATGTAGGGATCACCTTGGCAGCCCTGGCACTCACCGTCCATGTCTAGGGCGCTGAGATGGAAGAAGCCTTGGCCGAGATCCGAAGGCACAGCCGCACCTCACAACATATTAGAACTATTTAGAACTCATAGGATCATGGAAATTCAATGAAATAATAATGAAATTCATAGAACATGAAAGACTTTAAAGTTTTTTATTTTAAAAAACGTAAAGATATTACAGAAAGAACAACTTGAGATCCAGATCCAGGTAGAATTAGTGAGACTGAGGAAGATCCGGAAGATCACAAAAAGATCACGAGAATCCTAGAACTCCCTGTAGAGGATTAGAACTATCCTGCAGGGCCAATGAAGAGGTGCTTTGGATATCGGATTGTCTTGGTGTTTTGCAGAGGTGGCGGCTAGAAGGCACTCCTCCAAAGATGTCGGGGCCATGAACTCAGCCAATGGCACGCGCGGAGATTCTATAGATATCCATGCCAGCATGGCAAGTATCATGCGGATGAACGTGAAGGCGCTTTTATATCGTGTTGCATGCAGTGTTATCATGTGTTATCATTGTGGCAACATGCCAACAGTATCCAACAGTTCATGGCCATCAAACCACGTATTATGGAGTTGCTGGTGCGCCGGAAGATGTTGCAGCAGGGCACCATTGGGAACCTTTGGGCCAGCATCTCGAACATGTACGAAGTAAATGCAAAGTAAATACGAAGTAATCCCCGAAGTGGTACAACAAAGTGCAACAGCCAAACCTGATCAAATCTGTCAAGAGTTAGTTGCGTTCAGCCCAGGTCTGCCCTGCAGAGGGTCCTGAAGGCCCCTGCGCATCAATGAATCATGATCAAACGATAATCAAACGATAATCAAACGATAATCAAACGATGATCAAACGATGATCCCATCTGAATTCATGTCCCTTCATAAATTCCTGCTTCCGACCACACCACCGACACCACTGATTCCAAGATGTTGCAGCCAAAGATTTTCACTCACAGCCCTGTTTCACCTCGTTTCAGTGGCCAACCGACCCAATCTCGCCAGGATCGTATTGCAGAGCTGGAGCATGAACCTCAGTCTGACACCAGACACCAACATACACCAACTACCACCGATTCTCAATGATTACACTATCACAATGTGGTAAACCGTCTTAAACCCATTTAAAGCCATCAGATACCTTCCATTTAGGATTGTTTTTACCAGCCCGTTTCTGGTAAAATCGTTCGAACATTGGAGAGAACAGGTTTGATCAATTACAAGAGGAAAGATTCAGGACAAGTATTCACATGTGTTCACATCATGATCGTTCCATCTCATTCAATTTCCATAGAATAGGTATGTAAATGGATTGAAATGGATTGAAATGGCAATAGAAAAATGAAACGAAGCGAATGGCTTGGTCATTTGTCGGAATGTCAGGCGGCAGCTGGTCGCTGCACGGGCCATCCGAGAGCAGGGGCTGCAGCGAGGCCTACAGGATGACTTTCAGGCCCACGGAGGATGGATTTTCATGGATTTCTAACAGGTTTTCATGGTGTTTCTGATTTTGATGCTTAAAGTTATGCATGTTACGCATGTTTGATATGTTTGGCGTTTACTTTGCACAGCCTGTTATGAATCTAAGACTTGCGACTGAACTTTGGAATTGGAAGATTTGGAATGCAGGATGGTGGAGTGAACATTCTTCCCAGCATTGCTTCAGCTGCAGTTGCTGCAGCACGCGATGCCAGCAGCGGATTGCTGAGAAGAGAGAGATCTCCTTGGCAGTGTCCATTATTTATATGATATTTATAGGTAGTTTCAGCATTCGGCGCTCAACAAGCAGACGTGCATTCTCTGATGGTGAAGTGCTAGAGACCTTCGGGGGGGGGGGGCAAGGCGGCGCATAAAATCAAAGGAACGTTGACAATGCTCCCAATTTCCAGGCGAAGAGCGCTTGACCACTTTGGAGGACTCAGTTGCTTCATGTGCTGCATTTTTTTGTTTGTTTGAATAAAATCAATTTGCCATTTTCAGCAGGAAGAATTAGCAGATGCCAAAGAAGTGCAAGCCGCAGCAGAGGCATCGGAGAATCTGATTTTATTCGTCAAAATTTTGCATTTTCATTTTCTTGAGTTGTCTCCTGAACGCTTGGTCAGTACTAACCTGCGATCTTGCAATTGCAGGCGTTGATCACAGAGCTCTTCAGTCCGTCAGGCCCCTCACATTGCAACATTAAATAACATAAACATATAGTGAATTCGGATGGTTTTGTGGGATAGACTACGAAGGATTATGCAGCGGTGTCCGGGCAATCCGCTTGTCACCAAGTGAAAACACTTCTTGCTGAGTGCGAACCATTTTTCTTGGTGTTTTTTACATCGCGAGCGCAACCTTCGTTTGTTTTCTCGGCACTTCTTCGCTGAAAGCAGACACCAACTGCCAGAGAAACAATCTTTTCCTGAAGACAAATTGTAACTGATGAAAGATGTCCTACATTGTCCTGCGCGGCCGTCCCCTTCTGGTTTTGGTTTCAAAACCCAGAGGCTGACTATGGCTGACTCTGGGTGATTCGTTGTCGTTTCCCGTGCAGGTCGAAGGATGATGGACAGCTCAACCGTTCCCTCGGCCCTTGACCTTAGTGGTTTGACAGACGGCGGTTGGCAATGTCTCAATACGTTTTCATCAAGAATCACTTTGGTTGTTGACGTCACCAAAACAACACATGCATGCACACGCACAACATCGCGGACCATTTTGATTCAATTTTGATAACATTTGCTCCCACAAGGAACTTACAGATGGAGTGCGGCAATCACCCAAAAAAGAGGCCGTCGGTGACCAACTGGCAACAGCAGTTTCGTCCAACAGCACCAAGAATATGAGAAACATTGAGAAACCATAGAATCCCCAACATTAAGGTTTGTTGTTTCGAAGGTTTTGAGATGTTTTGAAGAAAATTTGGAAGTACTGCGGTACTGAGTATTTTGAGATATTTTGAGTATTTCCATGGGTTTTTGGTGCCTGGAGGTGGCTGAAGCGGCTATGAGTTTTACCTCGGAGTTGTTGGAAGCTTTGGTCCGGGCGCTGACTTTCATCGCTTTCATGTCACAAAGACAGTACACCAGAGAGATCCAGAGAGTGAGGCTGCCTGTCGTTTGGAACTCCAAAGAGCGAGGTGCAGAGCCGGGTGGCCAGCTGTAGCTCACTGCAGATCCAATTTTTTGAAAACCCGACATGCTGAATAGAGAAACAACAACATACACTGACATACACCAACTATCAACTTGGAGTTCTCATGACAAGACCTTACAGCCAGGTTGGCTGCCAACATTTGCTGATTTTCCTTTCTGGGGCATGGGTCCAACCGTCCTCCAGACCCTCTACTCAATACCTTGAGAGCAAAAAAAAACATTGTAGTCTGCAGATTAGTGCATGATGTTTAAATATGTTTAATCTATTTTCCAACATTTTCCATCTATCTCCATCTTGTTTGGATCGAATTCATGTCATGAACAGAGCCTGTCATGAACAGCGCTGAGAACAAGTCGCTGGGCCAGGCCGTCGCTGTGAGATGAGAGATCTTTCAGTGCCGGGGAGACCGGTCTGCCGGGTCTCCCCGTCCTGCGGCATTGTGAACCTTCCAGGACCTACAAAGAAATCTCATGTAACAGTTGTGTCATATATGTAAGTAATATATGTAAGTAATATATGATCGATATATATATATATATGTATAATATATATATAATTATATATATGATATATATGTAGTGCAATAGTGTTTCAATACTGGTTGAGGACTGGACAACACATGGGTGATGCGGACTTATGACATTGTGGATTTTTTGTCTCAAAGTTCGAAACTTGTGCATGGCATCAGAAGGCTGGAAGCGTTGTTGGAAAGTTTCCACGATGTGATGTTGTGGGGATTTAGCGTTCAGATGTATAGCGATATTTATGTGCAGCGACCGATCAATGCAATCCCCGCAAACTGGTACAATAGAAGCTGGTGCAACGGAAACCAACGTTATGAAAACGTATGAATTGGGCAGAGCCGGAAAAGCATCATAGACGTATGTGTGTTGTATAGTTGTTTAACTTTTTGACAAGGAACTACTGGTTTCCGCATCATTGTGGTGGAAGAAACCTCCAGATTGCCATAGGATCTAGACTTCAAACTTCTGAATCCTAGACCGTCCAGACACGGCTCCGTTTCTTCCACTTGTAGATTGATGTCGCTCCGTCTCACTGTGAGCCATGGGCCGGAAGAAACGGCCACATGAAGCAACGGCGACCACGGGAGTTCGAAGGATGCGAAGAACAAAGACAGGTAATCTTTAGCAAATCATCAAAGATAGGGAATCCAACTACATCCAACTACTACCAACATGCATCAACGTAAATTGATCAAAATTGATCACAAACAACATCGTTTCGGTGGTCAGGTCAATGGTGGGTGGCCCTAAAGGGAGTTAACAGTTAACAGTTGAATGTTTGGATCTCTTTGCACTCTTAGGCACTTTCACACTCTCAGGACTCAAATGTTTCATCTTCATTCTCAAAAACAAGCAGATGTTTCTCGACCAATCTTGACCCCTCCGAAAGCCAAGTTTAAGATAGTTTAAGTGCCCAAGGTCTACCAACCATGAACCGAGGTGGCATTCATCATACATTCATCATACATTCATGAATGATGATGGCACTTGATGGCACTTGATGGCACTTGATGGCACATGTTGCACATCTCCCAGGAATTCCCCCGGGGGGATCATCCCGGATTGTTTTTCTGTTTCCTTGTGACATCTTGTGACCTGCAGCTTTATGGCCCGCCACTGATGTTTGGTGGCCGGGGCCGGCCGGCTATTTTGGAGGAGCAGGGGAATCGAAATGCCACAATATTCCACAATATTCTACACTATGACATACTATGACTAGATACATATTCATATTATTCATGACATGTCACAGTGTCCCAACTCCCAAGATTCCCGAACTATGACATACTATGACTATGTGGGATTTGGTAAATGACTTGAAGGGCTCAACATCTCCCCACTCTGCCACTCAACTTAAATGCAGGAAAATGTCGGCAGAAGCAGTGGGAATCTTAGCGTTACGGGCCTGATCAGCGAGTTGCAACCAAGCCAGACTTTCGACAGATGCACACTAGTTGAGATGTTTTTGTGGCGGTTGGGCCTAGTAGGAGCACGATCGACATTGATTCACATTAATCCTTGCTGGAATTACCAGCGTTGTACGGGGACATACCCCTTGCTCTTATGGGACTGAGCGATTCAGGACTAAAACTCGTGTGCGATTCGCATTTTTGTTTCGGAATAGTCGGTGGTTCCAAATGAATTTGTGATCAGTATGACCTCCTGATAGTTTGTCAGAGATTGTGACATTTGTTGGAAGCAGGGCAGCAGCATAGGCCATGATTCTTACAGTCTTACAACTTCAAATTTCCGTTGACAGCAGGATGGCTACAAGCTGTTTGTGGGAAATTTACCGACAGTTTGGTGCCTCAGAAGATGCTGGAGATGGAGAGGTGGAGTATTGCTCAGGGATCTCTTGGATCTCTTGGATCTCTTGGCAAGCTGTGTGGAATTGTGTGGAATATGGAGAGTACGCATAACTACGATGCATTCCGTGCATTCCTCTTTTAACAGTATGTTGATGTATGTTGCATGGAGAGCGCTTTTGCCCCTTGATGCCCCGTTCATTTTCCTTCACTTTCTTACAAGAGTGGTCTTTGAATTGCTACATCGGGAGTGTAGCGCGCACACGCCCTACCAGCAAGCCAAAGGGACGAGTCGAGCAAGCAAACCGTCAAAATGCTTTGAAAAAGAAATAAGATAAGAAAGAGGAAGAAATCCACAGTTGGTTTTGAACAGATTGCTGGTGGATTCCCTCATACCTTTCTTATGCTGTTCCGAACTGGCTAGCAACTAAGAGAAGATGAATTCTGAATAGTCCCAAGATGTCCCAAGATGTCCCAAGACCCCTTTGGCCAAAGCTCCTGAAGGGTTCCATGCACGGCGTGATCTATAGATCTGTTCCCCAACCACACCGATTCCTTCTCTGTTGGGGCTGAGGATTGCACTTCAGAGGAGTTGCGTGCCGTTTTTTCAACTTATGGAGTTGTCGTCACCTTAGCATACCTTAGCATCGCATGGCATTGAATGGCGTGGCATATTATGCGTGGCATTATATGGCATTATATGGCATGATCTGGCATGGCAACGAGCGATCCAAAAACAGAAACATCATGCGACTGAACACATTTGCCTTGGATATGTTGGACAATGTTGGACATGTTGGACATTTTTTGCAACCGAGGTGACACATGTGCATGTCACGCCGGCGATGTTTAGAAATTGGAGACGACTTTGTCGAAGAGAGGGGAAGTTGGGGGAAGTGTGGAGCTGTGTCAAGTTTTTTGGGTTGCAGATTGAGTTCTTGTCTTAAACCGTTCTTCTTGGTGAGTATTGCCTCGATGACTTTTCGATTGAAGACATTTTGGTTACGATGCGTTTGTTGCCATGAAAGATCGTGAAAACACCCACAGGTAATGAATCCTCATCCTCGAACAGGGCAGAGGCTCTGGCTTCGAATGGATTCCGTGTCCTTTGTTATCCAAAACGAATTGAATTGAAAGTTGTGCTGGAGACAAAGCCAGGGATACACTTCTAATCTGGATCCAAAGCCTGCTGGATGAAGCCACGCAGACACTCAGAGAGACAAACACATCAGTGATAACGTATATATGAATCCATTATATATATATTATATTAAATATTGGTTAATATTGGTTATATTAAGTTATATATATGGTCCCGTCCTCCGTCTCTCCACCCCCCCCTCCCCCCCCCATGGGTTTGGTCCCCAGGTAGCAGCCCCAATTCCCTTCTATTTGCAAGCTATTGGCAGAATTTCTGAGGTCCAGCTTCGTATTTGCTAGGTCTTTGCAGCATTTCTGACTACCAGCCTCGCATTTACTATATAGGTACATGCTACCTTTTAGGCGACCTACGTAGCACACATACTCCTTCAAAGTACCTACGTGCTACCTATAGTCATATTATACATGTGCTATGTATCTACTGTATCTACTTCCTATTTACTACCTGTGTACTCTGACAACACTACCTGTGTTTAACATATACCGTACCTACCATACATGTCAATGATGCCATGCATACCATACCTATCATATCTATCATATCTATCATACATACCACACATACCATACATATGAAATGTAATTACCACACCTACCATACATACAATAGCAAACATACATGCCATACATACCATACCTGACTTACATAGGAAATATTCCATACCCATCATAGTAATCATACATACCATACAGACCATACATACTGTCATATCAAACATACCATACCCAACAGACTTACATACCATACCTACCATCCATACAATACCAGCCACTCATGCCATACATACCATACCTACCATACATACCAAACATACCATACTTTCCAAACATGCCATACCAGACCGACCATACACACCATACATACCCAACATACCATACCACACCCCCACCACACCACAGGGGGGGGAGGGGGACAGTGCCACACCGCCACCACACCACAGGGGGGGAGGGGGAAGATCTCATATGGGGCCAGTATATGGGACCCATCCCATGGGGGGAAGGGGAGGGGGGGGTGGCAGGGCCTGGTGCATACATATATATATAATAATAACAATAATAATAACACTAATAATAACAATAATAATAATAATAATATGCGTGTATATAGATACAACATTTTCTATGTCAACATCAAGATTGAGGCTGCTCATCCAAAGCTCCGCAGCAGGTGTGCTTTTGTCTTTTACGCGACGAGATCGGCCGGGGAGGATGCATGTGAAGTTGAGACCTCAAGAATTCTGAGGTCAATGCGGCAAGAAACACAAGGCATGCACTGCATATGCCCTGCATCCTGCTTGGCTGCTTGAGGTCTTAGACAATCAATACAAAATTCGTAGCGATGCCTCTCAGCCCATTGTGGTTAGATGGTCCAAGGACTGACTGGGAGCTTCAAGATATTTCAATATCATTGAATTATTATGAATTATTGAACATTTATTGAACATTATGGAATCATTTTGATTGCATCGAATTCATCTTTGCATATTTTGGCATGTCGTATATCTTCGCCATTTCAAGCAGGCCCAGCTATGTTGTCCCGATCCAATGATGTTTGTTCCAATGCATCTGTTGCATCCGTTCAATGACTTTCCTGTTCTCGATATTGCCCTTCTATTGATTTATTTGATTTACAAACTCGGGAACCTTGATGATCTTTTCGAAAGGATCGTTGTGTTATTTTCTCGAAGATTGAGTTTCATTTTGGACTCGCCCTAAAATCACTTGAATGTCCTCGCGGTCGTAAGATTTGAGGTAATTTCTCAGCTGTCTTGTTGGAGATCAACCCCTGTCTCACATAACACATCCATGTCGGTCAGTCCATATTTCCTTGCACTTTAAGCCACGGGATATTGCAGAATGTGTGCAGAGCTTTTGTGCAGGATAGCACGCAAGAGAAACCCCGTGAAAAGGTCTCTCAGGACAAGTGCATACCATTGTTTTTGGATTAAGATGATCAAGTTAATACTGTAGATTGATGAATGGGTACTTCTTTTGCAGATGGAGTCAACTGTTGTATTTCCCGTTGCCTGCCGATTAAAGTAGCGACAACATGCAACAGCCATCATACCTGTTGAGAAGTCAAGTTGACCCACATCATCTCTACATTTCACTACATCTCATTGAGATATGACTTGAATTGACTTGATTTATCTTGACGTATCTTGATTTGCTCAGAGTGGTTGCATCAAGTTTCTGCTTGATGCGTTTTCCATCGCTTTCCCATGCGTTTTCCCATGCGTTTCCCACGTTGAAATGCAGGGCCAGGAGAGAGCCGCTGAGGATGGCTACAAGCTCTTTGTGGGAAGCCTCCCACCAGCTGGCCACCTCAGAGGGTCGGTGCATTCCCGGTGCATTTATCATCTTACAATGTTTTACACCAATGTTTTACACAATGTTTTACAATGATGTTCACAGGGTCATGGATTAATATGAATTATATATGAATTAACATGAACTTGCTGGATGCATATGATACAATGTATGCATATATATATATAGATGTACATATATGTATATATATATACCAATGATCTTGTGGACGTGCCTTTTTGTGCTCAAAAGTGGTTCACGTGTAAATGAAAGGATAGTAATGTAGTGTAGATGAAATTATGTGCAATGCAATGGAAAGACATGTGGAAATTGCTAGCAAGCCAAAGGGACGAGTCGAGCAAGCAAACCGTCAAAATGCTTTGAAAAAGAAATAAGATAAGAAAGAGGAAGAAATCCACAGTTGGTTTTGAACAGATTGCTGGTGGATTCCCTCATACCTTTCTTATGCTGTTCCGAACTGGCTAGCAACTAAGAGAAGATGAATTCTGAATAGTCCCAAGATGTCCCAAGATGTCCCAAGACCCCTTTGGCCAAAGCTCCTGAAGGGTTCCATGCACGGCGTGATCTATAGATCTGTTCCCCAACCACACCGATTCCTTCTCTGTTGGGGCTGAGGATTGCACTTCAGAGGAGTTGCGTGCCGTTTTTTCAACTTATGGAGTTGTCGTCACCTTAGCATACCTTAGCATCGCATGGCATTGAATAGCGTGGCATATTATGCGTGGCATTATATGGCATTATATGGCATGATCTGGCATGGCAACGAGCGATCCAAAAACAGAAACATCATGCGACAACACATTTGCCTTGGATATGTTGGACAATGTTGGACATGTTGGACATTTTTTGCAACCGAGGTGACACATGTGCATGTCACGCCGGCGATGTTTAGAAATTGGAGACGACTTTGTCGAAGAGAGGGGAAGTTGGGGGAAGTGTGGAGCTGTGTCAAGTTTTTTGGGTTGCAGATTGAGTTCTTGTCTTAAACCGTTCTTCTTGGTGAGTATTGCCTCGATGACTTTTCGATTGAAGACATTTTGGTTACGATGCGTTTGTTGCCATGAAAGATCAATGAATCATGAATGATTACGAAAAAGATCACGAAAGCATCCGCAGGTAATGAATCCTCATCCTCGATCAGGGCAGAGGCTGGGGCTCTCAGACTGCATTGATTTGCTCGGCGTATGCTCGGCGTTTTGCATCGTTGGAGAAAGCCATGGACAACACGACTGAGACGGGATCTTGGGATATTTTAGGATATTTTAAGGATAGCTTAGGCATGAAACTTTGAATATCTCTGGGGCATACTTTCGGGCATGCTTTGGCTAAGTCAAACGATTCCAGCGCTTGAAGAAGGTCTCATATGTTCAGGACATACTGTGACATACTACCCCAGCTGTCGCTTTATAGGACAGTATATCAAAATATATCAAACATTTTTTTCCATCTCTTTGGTATCTCCGATATGAACACACTCAAATCCAGCGATCTTGCTGACCAAAATCAACGGCCTCGCGCAACGATGAATTCCTGTGATGCTTGAGGTGTGCTTTTGTCTTTTACACGACCAAATCGGCCGGAGACGATGCATGCAAAGCTCCAGCCTCAAAACTGACAAAGGATACATACCGATACATACCCGGTCTGAAAGATTGTGCAACGCGTTTGCCTTATGAGCACGATGGTACTTTCATATCTTTCACGGGTTGGATGTTGGGTTCTGAAAGGTGGTTTCAAGATGTTTCAAGTATGAACCTGGATTGCCGGCATATACCAAAATTATTCTAGCGCAACGCTCACACTGCTTGCAACAATACAGGAGAGCCTGGAGTTTGGTAAGTTGTAATGTGGAACGACCGTGACTCCTTGACATGGCTGCAATATGCTGCAATATAGATGGCTAATGATGTCTAATGATTTGAATGATTTTTAGTGGACTAGGTGCCAATAGATCCAATAGGTACCAGGCACGGGCGGCACGGGCGGCACGGGCGGCACGGGCGGCACGGGCGGCACGGGCACGACCAATGCCCAAGATGCCCATGAGATGCTGCTTGAGATGCTGAGGTCCTCGACAATCAGTACAAGATTCGTAGTGACGCGTCTCAGCCCATTGTGGTTAGATGGTCCAAGGACTGACGGAGAGACATGGAGAGACATGGAGAGACATGGAGAGACATGGAGAGACGGAGAGCTCAAAAGATGCTTTCAGAATTTTCAGATGCTATTTATAGATGCTAAGTAGATGCTTTATACTGTAGATGCTTTAAGTGTGATGAGTTACTGTTTGAAGTGGTTTCTTGACGCTTCAAGACATTTCTTCACATTTCTTGACCAAGTCCATGCAAGCTGTTTGAAAATCAAGGCAGACTCAGGGCGAACACGTACAATGCTCACAGTAGTGCATGGTTTTCATTCTCATCACTATACTATATATATATACACCTACTATATATATATATACTTTATCGACGCTTCTCATATATCATCCCCTTTTCGCTGCCGGTGTCGTGGGTAACAGAGGACACTCCCAACACAACAACTGAGTTTGAGCGCCTTATGTACACCGTGGCAACGTGAGATTCGAATAAAAACACATTCAAATAAGGACTGCCTTGTTTTGAATTTTGATTGTGCAAAGTCTATCCGTGCCCCTTCTTTTCCTTTTTCCTCGCCTTTCCTGACAGGTTCAATTCAGACTAACGGTTTGAGTCCGGCATCCGGATTTAAACGGATTTGAACTTTGCGGCCTGATTTTGAATTGGGGTTCATCCAATCTGTGTCATGAATAGGCGCAAATTACGTTGGTCTTGTGAGTTATTCTCGACCTCTTTCTTAAAGGACAGAAATTTGGAAAGCCCCGAAACATCCTGAAACCTTTTGTTGTTTGTGTCTTAGACACAAGGTAACACAGGTAACACAATGAACCCACAAAAACGGGCCTGCTGGAGCCTGCCGGTGTCAGGAGCCAACAAAGGAGTTTAGACCGAAAGAGAGTTTCGCGCCTGCGGGGCATTGGGAGAAGGGCTCACAGGACGGGTGCGTATTGCAAGGAGTGTTTCCTAGTGTTTGGCTTGTGAGCGGCGAGCGCAGCCTAATACACCCTACATGCTACGTTTCTCTGTGGGAATTTTGCAACCAGATGTTTGAGCACTTGAGGCCTCACGCAAGATTCATCCTGACGGAAGCCCTTGAACATCCAGATAGGAAGTGCCAACAAAAAGTGCAGTTCTCGCTGTCAGGAGAAGGGTTCCTGGGGCAAAGGCTGGGAAGATGATGGTCTCACGCTGAGAAGCATGGACCATGGATGGACCATGGATGGAACATGCGAATCATGAAGGATGATGGAGGATGATGAAGGATGATGAAGGATGTATCTGGAATCGCAGATGGATTCCGTTTTTTTGAATTCTTGTGGCACGTTTTGACACGTTTGCACTACATGTTTGGCTCAGTCTGGCCTGAGGCTGGGGCTGGGAATGGATAGGCCAAAGCAGCAAGGGCAGCAAAGGCAGCTGGCAAGGCAGGGCCCTGAATGTTGAACTTTCAACGATTGTTGCTGCAGGATGTTGCGGTTTATGCAGAAAATGGTGAAAGTCGGGTGTTTCGCTTTCAGAAAGCTGTCCTTGCAAGATGTCTTTGCACTCCAGGTGATGGTTGGTCAAAGGGTTGGAGTTTGGATCTCAATTTGTTGGGCAGTTGTGGATAGGACCAGGAAAGGGTATGAAGCATCATGAAGCAGAAAGTATCAGATGTGCCGGAGGATAGGTCAACGAAGTACAATACCGGGGATATGAGACAGTGTCCTGCAGAGATACAAATCAAAACGTGGAGGTGAATGCGCAAAAATCCATAAAACACTCTGGAATATATACTTCGGATATCTTCGGATAGAATTCAATTTTGGGGCAATATGCAGATCGTTTGTCCCTCAGGCTTTCGGGAAGATGGAAAAGGGAAAGCTGCAAAGGGCCCGCCTCCTTCTTATGGCAAAGGCTGGAACAAAGGCAGGAGGGAAGCAGCGGAAGCAATAGGGGTGGCCAGCAATCATTTTGGTTCATTGTGAGACATTGTGAGATATTGTGAGACATTGTGACATTGACTTTCAACATATTGAAACTGCATTTTCACATGATCGGGGGATGTTGTAGCATGCATGGGGTGATGTGGCTTGGAGGGTGAATTTTGGGCTCTTACGAAAGCAGGATTTAGAACTCAGATGCACATGAGTGCTTGCTTGCGTGAAATCGCTTGGCATTTACGTAATTCCAGAGAGCACAATCCATTACTGATTACGAATTTTGGCAGATCCGAGGATGGCTAGCGGCTAGATCTAGCAGTAGAGCACTGACCCCAAACAGCCAGGCTACGATGGCTACGAAGATGTTGGTGGAAGACTGAGAGAGTCAGAACTGTGGGATTGCAGAGAAAGCCACGTCTTTGCCTCATCATAACGAAGGCATTGATTTCCACCAGACTCTTCAGCAGGTGTGATCCGTCATGATACTTATAGAATCATAGGGTCCTAAATGGTCCTGAGTCCCCTGGGTGGAACCCTTCAAACCTGAATTTACCTTGATCATCCTGATTTCTCAAGCGTGGATGCTGATGGAAATACAATGAAAGATACTGTAATGAGAGTGTGTTTGAGGTTGGAGCTGGGACTGGGACAATGGAAAAGGAAAGGGCAGCAAAGGCAGCTGGCAAGGCAGGGCCCTGAATGTTGAACTTTCAACGATTGTTGCTGCAGGATGTTGCGGTTTATGCAGAAAATGGTGAAAGTCGGGTGTTTCGCTTTCAGAAAGCTGTCCTTGCAAGATGTCTTTGCACTCCAGGTGATGGTTGGTCAAAGGGTTGGAGTTTGGATCTCAATTTGTTGGGCAGTTGTGGATAGGACCAGGAAAGGGTATGAAGCATCATGAAGCAGAAAGTATCAGATGTGCCGGAGGATAGGTCAACGAAGTACAATACCGGGGATATGAGACAGTGTCCTGCAGAGATACAAATCAAAACGTGGAGGTGAATGCGCAAAAATCCATAAAACACTCTGGAATATATACTTCGGATATCTTCGGATAGAATTCAATTTTGGGGCAATATGCAGATCGTTTGTCCCTCAGGCTTTCGGGAAGATGGAAAAGGGAAAGCTGCAAAGGGCCCGCCTCCTTCTTATGGCAAAGGCTGGAACAAAGGCAGGAGGGAAGCAGCGGAAGCAATAGGGGTGGCCAGCAATCATTTTGGTTCATTGTGAGACATTGTGAGATATTGTGAGACATTGTGACATTGACTTTCAACATATTGAAACTGCATTTTCACATGATCGGGGGATGTTGTAGCATGCATGGGGTGATGTGGCTTGGAGGGGGAATTTTGGGCTCTTACGAAAGCAGGATTTAGAACTCAGATGCACATGAGTGCTTGCTTGCGTGAAATCGCTTGGCATTTGCGTAATTCCAGAGAGCACAATCCATTACTGATTACGACTTTTGGCAGATCCGAGGATGGCTAGCGGCTAGATCTAGCAGTAGAGCACTGACCCCAAACAGCCAGGCTACGACGACTACGAAGATGTTGGTGGAAGACTGAGAGAGTCAGAACTGTGGGATTGCAGAGAAAGCCACGTCTTTGCCTCATCATAACGAAGGCATTGATTTCCACCAGACTCTTCAGCAGGTGTGATCCGTCATGATACTTATAGAATCATAGGGTCCTAAATGGTCCTGAGTCCCCTGGGTGGAACCCTTCAAACCCGAATCTGCCTTGATCATCCTGATTTCTCAAGCGTGGATGCTGATGGACATGTGGAGGTGAAAAACGCTCCATAGGCTTATCTCAATTTGTCTCATCTTGTCTCATTCGCTCTTGTTCTCTCGAAAACTTTCGAATCTTTCCAAAGGGCCAAACTGAATAGATCCAATAGCAATGGAGAACACAAAACTCACAAAACCAGGGTTTCTAGATGTTTTCTAGATTTTTCTAGGCTGTATATGCTGTATATGCATGTATATGCTGTATTTGACATTGGGATGGATTAGGTGGAAGTACATTACGTGGAAGGGATTGCTATGGATTGCTTCTTACAATGTCAAGACATGTCAAGACTGCCACATTTGTTGCTTTTTCGAACTCAGCTTTGCAACGAGTCCACCAGGGTCACCAGGGCATCCCGGATCTGAACATATTTCTGAAAGCTTCTGAGAAGGTTCTGAAAGACTTTGGGAAAAACGACTTTGGTCGTTTTGGTGTGACATTCGGTGTGACCACTGTGACCACGTTCCAAGTTCCAAGGCCTCGATGCGACAGGCACCAAACTCTACGTGGCCAATCTGCCAGAAGACATTCAGGCGTTGATAGTGAGGTGTTGTGAAAAGGTTGTGATTGCAGTTGTCTTTGTTGCACACTGGCAATATGGCAATATATGGCAACATGGCCACAGGTATATGCAATAATAATATTATATATATAAGTATTAATATAATATATATATATTTATTTATTATATACACATATTTGCAATATGTGTGTACTACTGCTGGAGTTGCCCAATTTCCGTCACCACCCAGAATCTTCAGCAACCAGCATGCAAAACGTTCTGAACTCGAAACAGTTGCAGCCTGAAAACTCAAACAGCTTCAGGCTTTGCGTCATGTTTTTACCATGTTTTTATTATGGTTGATAAGAAAGGAAAATCAAAGGATGTAAAAACGGGTTCTGTACGCAGGAGAGTGCTTTGGAGTATGTCTTCGGCACTTACGGAACAGAACCTCGGATCAGAATCTGGAAGTCTTTTACAATGTAAAATTTACAAAACCAGAGCTTGGCGTAGCTTGGCGTAGCTTGGCGTAGCTTGGCGTAGCTCTTGTGAAACTGCGCACTCCCAAGACCTCGTGATCTCACCGAAGATCAAAGCACATGGATCGGTTCGAATTTGCTCCTACCATGCTCTGATGTCTGATGCAACGTGCAACTTGCATCAAGCATTTTACAATATGTCAAAACAGTATGTGATGGGAGTGATGACTGATCTTTTTTTTTCACCCATGAGCAAAAACAATGTAAAAACAATCAACGAGGTGTTGAATCGTGCCTAGGTTGAAAAGGTCCACGTGATGCGTGGCAAGGTCAAAAATGGCTGTGCGGACGCCTAGCAACCAGTGAGGGGCAGTTGCACCATGGTGCAATGTGTCCGAACGGAGTCTGAACATGTCAGTGTCATGTTGTGCTTGTGACATTTTGTGACCACGATGACGCTTGCAGCCGGAGCTGGATGCAGCTGGATACTGTCAGACTCTCTCAAAGTGTTTCTGACATTGACCATCGCTGACTATCACTGACCATCATTGACCATCACTGACCATTCGTCACACATGACTGACCCGTCACTGGTCTCCGGAGGTATATCTGGCTTCGTTGAATTTGAGAAGCCGGACGAGGTATCAAGACCAGTCGTTTGCAAAGACAAGTGACAAGTGCTTCATTTATCTTCATTTCATTGTTTCTATTTAAGTAATAAATAAATTTGTTTTGTCATGTGTAATGTGTTTTCATATATGATTCACTGATTGCTGGCGATTCTCATTTCTTTCATTTGTTCTTGTCAAGCAAGACTCCCGGCTTGTGTTACTTGCTGAAGGCAACCACTGCCATCATGTCCCTTGACAACAAGCTACTCAGCTGCAGCAGGTCATACTTATCATTCACATCGCTCTAATGGGAGTTGCAATAAGTTGGAACTTGCATGTACAGAATTGCATGGCAGAATATATGTATATAATTATATATATAATGTATATATGTATATTATTATTGTATATGTGTACATATGTACATATACTGTAGAAAAATAGAAATACTAAGTGTGTATATGTGTGTGTGACACATGCATGGAACATTAGACAACATTGAACTTGATCTGATGCGTCGGAAGCCCTGCATTAAATTGCAGGAGTAACTGAGTGCCCGTCTTCATGCCCCTCGCACCGTTCCCAGGTCGAAATCCGTGCTGGTTATGGGCATCTTGGTAGCAAGTTCGTACACCGCTGACAACCCATTGACATGTCGCGACCTACATGGGGAGAAACCGCTCATTCCAAAATGAGCTAGATTTGGTCCTCAGCGTGCAATGGATGGATGTTTCTCTCTTCAAGTTCCTCGTTGCAGTATGGTCCGTCTAAACATGTCTAAACAGAGGTGCAGATTCAAGACATTTTTCTGACGTCCACAAAGCCTTGAAAAGGACCTTGGGGAAACTGTTTGGTCATGAAAACCTCGATCAAAACATGTTTGAAGTTCAGGTCTGTAATGTCAACGTAATGTCAATGTGGCAGATGCAGATGCAATGAACAATTATGACATCGTATTGTGTGCAGACACGTCCTGGACTGCTGAATTGATCTGAATTGTTTCAAAGCTGAAGATCAATTCAGATCTGCCAAGGCCTCTGCAGGTGCGACTTGCCAACGCCACGAGGAAATACTAGTAGGGCGTCCTACGGTAGGACCTTGGATGACCTTGAGATTTCAAAGGACGGTGCAGGGATTGCAGGTGATTTCAAGTGATTTCAAGTCAATGGTTCAAAGGTTCAGTTCAGTGTCCTCATGTTTCCGCAGGTGCAGGTTCTATGTCACTTTTGAGTTTGGGCGGTTCATGGCGGTTCCAATCATGCGGACAGACTTTGACATGCTGCAAGTCCCCCTCAGTTGATTGGCCATACTCCATCATACTCCGCAATAATACACTGAGATTGCGAGTGATAGAGTGATAGTCCACTGGATACTTATCGAATCTTATCGATGGATCCCACTTACCCGATTTGATCAGGTACATTCAGTAAGTGTGTTGGGGTCAGACCAGCAACATGTGCACAGAAGTGATGCAAGACTTGAAGCTTGAAGACTTGTCGTGCCAGGACGATTAAATTGCTGCTTCTGATGACTTTTCAATGCATGCAATATTTCAATGCGTAGCAATGCGTGATTTTGACAAATGTAATGCTGCAATGCTCAATCCTGAGTCTCCAAGCCATGCTATGAGCATGCACAGGTGACTGTACATGCCAACAAAAGTTGTAAAGGCCGGCCAATGAGATGGTGCAACTTATGCAACGTGGCGACACGATGCGACACGATGCGACACTCTTGATCAACCTTGCACTGAAACGAATTTGAACTCTGTTTTGAAGTCTGTTTCGAAAGATCTACATATTTTATAATGTTTTTTTGTCTGGTTCTTTTGTGTCGAGACCGAGCAGGGAAACAGCACCGGCACCGGCAAAGTTTCTTGAGTCGTTTGTGGATTGAAGCTTTGCGCATCTCCCATGATACGCTTTTAGGATGGTCCAACATGGTCCAACTACACATAAAAAAAAACATTATATAATCATTATATATGCAGCTATATGCAGCTATATGCAGCTATATGCATATGCAAACTTTACCTAAACATACGTATTACATCGTATTACCGTATTTATATTTCTTTGTCAGGACAGATGAAAAGGAATGACACGGGAGATGTGAAAGCGTGTCCAGATTTAACTTGGGAGCTTTCTGGCAATTGCTGTACAATGCTGTCAGATATGAGCAAGAAGCTCGAATTCTTGGTGTCAGCATTCCCACCAATCAGGGGCCCAAGAAACATGATGGAACAATGAACTGCATTTCCATATTCTTTCGTTGTTTTTGCTTCGCGGGTCACATCGTGTTCCTTTCCCCATACTTTCCCCTCACTTTGATGTACCAATCAGTGGAGCAACGATCAGCTCAATGTCGGCATCCTGGACACGGTGAATATGACACCATCACCTGGATCCTAAAGCCTGAGCGACCGAAGCAGGTAGAAAACAACAGTGTTTTGAAACGATGCTATCACAATTATATAGTTTTATAATATATACAATATATAATACAATATATATATACACAATATATATATATATACAATATATATATATACAATATATATATATACACAATATATATATATATACACAATATATATATATACAATATATATATATATATACAATATATATATATATACAATATATATATATACAATTATCACATATTCATATCCTATGAATATCTGTCAATTGTATCCACCGGTCTGTAGGGATTTATCAACGTTTGTCGAGATTTGTATGCATTAGTTGCATTCTTGTCATCTATTTTCGCCTTGGCGATTGTGCGAGTAGACGGGCGAGATGCTTCCGGAAAGCGTTGTTGAGCACTTTCAAATCGTCCATTGCGTTGACTCTCTTGACCGTTCTTGTTTGTCGTGGTCGTAATGGGGAACTGGGACTCCAAGACTATGCAGACGCCCATCAAGCATGCCAAATTCGCAAGGACGGCTAATGAGAACTGGATTGAACTGGTCTTTTTATCTCGCATTCTTTTGCTTCGATGCTCCGTGAGGTCTGATGTATTTTCTAAGTATGTCTAAAGGCACAGTTCCAGCGCGTCCCGTACTGGCCTTTGAAACCCTCTTTGGGTAAGTCCCTATCAATGTCTATTGGGACTAGTCCTCGGCAATTTCACATCACAAATGAACAGATTTCAAACCAAAGTCACCAAATGTCAACCTCGGCCCTTTAGCAAGAGAATACTAAGCAACCCGCAACACCCAAAGCATCCCTCCA